AGGGTTTCATGGGCCCTTCAAGGTACTGTTAAAGTTCGATGGGACCTTCAAGTACTTCCTTCTTTTACCTAATCATCTTGTTTGATCAGCTCAACGGAACCGTCCGGATTGAATGATGACGTCGGAATACCGTTATTATCAAGGTGTGTGTCTACCGTTGCCAACAAGCAGGGCCAGCGGGACAATCCGAGATATCGACAAAACGAACAAAAAGCTGTGTTATAGCAGTGAATATGATTATGGACCGAGGACTGCCGAGAGTGGGTGATGAGACGAATGACTATTTATGGGCCGACAATAGCTACAACTACCATCGACTAGAAGAGATCTGCTTGCTCCTCCCACTTTGTACGATGACTCATTACTATTGAGGAAGGAAGTAAATGCCTTTATTTAATAGACATTCCTTCTATAGTTGCAACATTTAGCTAGCTTTTCTGGTTACAAGTTAACTCAGGGGTTGGTCTGGCATTGGATAGTTATCACTAACATCATGACCCATCGGGATCTTCAAATGGATCTCCCGACTGGTGGGAGTTAGGGCCATGATGACGTATAAGCTCCTCTAATGACTTCGAATCTCTAAATCAATACCTTGTTTCTAGGCCGCCATTGATAACCCTAACAGCTGTCCCTTTCGTGGGATCCAGCTGTAAGTTTAACCTCTCTAATGTCCCATCCAAAAACACATATAGACTAGTAATTAAGTATAGAATGTTCATTGACAGTATAATTTAAATGAATGAAGAATTAACATTAGTAAAGCAGAGTAAAACTACCTACTTGCTAACCCACTTTAGCGTAGTGTTCGCCTTTCCATTTAGTTTACAGACTAATCTGGTATCTCTTATAACATATTTTTATTACTCCTAGGAGAGTGGTGGTACCAAGAGTCAATATAAATAATTACCATTTCCATATTGGGCTTGTGTTCGACAGTCATCTTGGCTTCAATCGCAATCTTGCTCTTCTCGGCGCGGAACGCTGTGGTTCAGGTGTGAGGCGAGTATCTTCTAGGCCTAAAAGCAATTCAATTTCTGTGTTAGCAATGTTCTTTCCTATACTAATTGTGTTTTGGGCTCAAGAGATGAGCTATAGAGGGTCATTGGCAAAGGGGTATTGCCTCGAACATGACATATCTTATCGGCTATTCGGAATGGAGTTAGTAAGCAGTCCTTTCTCCCCACTCATTAACTCGGGCTATCTGTCTCCGGGTGTTCGTTCTGATAGCCTTCCTGATAGTTAGTCTGGGATATGCCAATTGTGATTCTGTCTAACTGCACAGTTATTGCTTCGAATTCTTCGATATGTCGTTACTTGTTTAAATGTGGACCAGCTGTACGACTTAGTAGTTCGGCTGGACGACTCGGTGAATGCAACGTGACTCACTAGTTAACCCCCGCAATGCAAGGCTAGCTGGCTAGCTTGTAGCACCACAAAACCAACACTTCATCCATGATATTTGTTGGATAACTCGCAGCATGTTCAGCAACCTATTAGAGTTATCTAGCGCGCCAAGGCTACCCAGCGCTCTGGAACGAACACGGGGCGGAAGCGGAACGGGATCCACCCGAAAAGTTTTTTTTTTTATCAGGCACACAGACACAACCTTTAATTGCCAAACACCGATAACAACTGTGGAACAGAGTATATTTGTTAACAGCTGTTACACCGACAAATGTATCTAATTTGCATCTGGCCCGTCTCAAACGGCTCCATCCTTCTAGTTATCCCTCCTTTTGTCCTCCCCAACCCCTTCAGCTCCGCCATCACAATGTCTAAAGTGCGCTCGCTCTACAAGAGAATGTGTCTGTCTGCATACCGCAGGGCATCCATGTAGCAAGCAGGGACAAACTGCCTTGGAGCATTCCAGTATTTACATTTGTGGTACTATTTATTCCCTGCTGTGTCATTGCCATCGGAATAAGTAGCGTAGAATCTGCTTTACAAACCAGCTCCTAGCGCAGAGTATCGATCAAGTAGGCAGACAGTGGTACAATTATCTAACCAGTGGACGGCTTTTCAAAATTTACAGCGGATAACGACCTAGGAGTAAGTCGGCGACTGATTTTCATCAGACTTATGTAGACTTACTACGCAGTGACGAAGGTAGTAACCTTACAACGAATAAACATTCTTGCTGTCGTCCAAGGGTAAAATGCATACCGTCCAGCCAGTTTCGCTTCTTGGGTCATTCGCCGTCCATTGCAATAAACCCAGGGGCAGTGTAGGTCGAGCATCAGGCGGCGTTGGTCTTTGTAAAATTCTTGTCCCTGTCCTCGGTCCCATCAGTTAAAATGTGCGAAGAATAGAGTAGAAAAGGTCGTCACATTGGTAACAAGCAGAAGAAGACTAATAGAGATTCTCAAGAGCCGACCGGAACTTGACCTTTATAGAGTGGTGCCTATATTACAAAGGGGCTTGAATAGATGTATTCTCACCTTGCTCCAAATATAGTATTTGCTTAGGTATCAAGTTGAATCACTTTTAGACGTATTCACAAGGGCTAGCTCGATCAAATGAGGAGACATGTTGGATTATGGCTACTCCTCGAGGTCTTCACCTTTCTCATCCTCGTCTTCCTCATCTTCCTCATCTTCAGCGTCATCCCTCTTTTTGCTATCAGGAGATGGTATTGACATGCTGTTTGCGAGGTTGATGGCCAAGGTGTCTTCAGTTTCGTCCATCTCAGTACTTGCGTCATCGTCCTCAAAGGTCGTAGATTTGTTAAACACCTCGGGGAGGTAGTGGTCAGACACACGAAGAGCAAGGTTTATAAGCATTGATCGATGTAAATACTTGCCAGGGGCTGCCCATATGCATCCCCCAGTCTCAACCTCTTGCACCCAGTCCAACCTGCCCTGGTCTTTCAGCATCAGGTAGGTCATGACATACCGGAAGTAGAGGTATCTTTTAGCAGGCCTGTTGTGTCCAAGGAACGTCAATGTCTTGCCATGTAGAACCTAATGTGTGTCATCAAGTCAGTATATACTTTAGTGCTTGGTAGGTAAGGAGTAGGGGGTCTTCCTACGTTCCACTTGGCTCCATCGGCAGCGACGTGCTTGAGGAGGGCTGGGTCCGTGACAACGAGCTTCCATTGGACGATCTCGTCTGCGGCTGATGGTGCTTTCGTTGCTACAACCACTACGTTTCCCATGTCCATTGCTGTTTCGATGTTCTTTTCAAGCATGAGACCTAGCGTACGTTAAATACCATTTAGCGACGACAGGGCGAATATAAACTCACTATTTCTGGGGTCATCTATAGTAACTGCCCCAACCCCGAATAAGTGGGCGACCGACCTCTCCTCAAGGCTCTTGGGGACTAGATGAGCTGCTCGGACTTCCTTCGACGAGAGCCACCCTAAGACATGACAGAATGCGAGTTTGCGTGGCATAAAGTTCGTTTCTTCAGTTTTGGATGTCCCGTAAAAAGTTTCAACAGCTTGCCGGAAGGCATTTGCTTTGAATTTCGACTTCGGCTGGTTTCCAGATGCTGATGCTATCCGGGCCACCATGGCATCGACATATGCAGACTCGAGCTCCTTATAATGAGGCATTGCAGTCTCCATGTCTTCTTGCACGAGTTTCCTCTGGCGTTTGATAACATGGATCTCCCTGTTCAGTGGCCTCGACGCGAGTGCTAGATCTTTGATACTGTCTAACGCCACAAGTGGTGGCAGGCGTCTAAGACGTGAGAGATCATGGATGGCAGTTTTACAGTCTTCAATATAGTCGACTTCAGATTCAAGCGCGTCGATCTTGGCTGCCAGAAAATCTGAAGAGGTAGAGACACACGACGCGGAGGAAGCCTAGCGCATTCGCTTCCTCGACTCTTCCAAAGTCGTTCGCTGGTTGTCGGGGAGCATGGCATGGTAGGCCTGGGGGAGGTGTTCTTTTTCGGTATGCTCGCTCGACATTATGAGATAAGAGAGGAGTGCAGTGAAGTAAAAGTCCGAGGGCACCGTCAAAAAGGAGGCAGAAGTGAGAGACGAGAGGGTTTCAAGTAAGAGCTGACGCGAGTGTCTACTGTGAGACTGTGAGAACGACTGTAGACTGAGAACTACCGTGAAGTGAAGACGACCAGACCAGGAAAAGAGAAAAACAAAGAGAGGACTTTGGAGGATATTGGAAATGCTGGAGATATTTATACCTCGCTAGAGGAGCTAGACACGCTAAGCGAGAATCTGGATAGGACAGGACAGGACAAGCTGACCGTCGACATCCTTCGAACAGGTGAAGTCATGGACTACGGTGTGTTGCTCCTGCTGTCCTGTTGCCACCTTTCTGGCAACCGCTCAACAGTGGAATACATAAGCCATCGGCTATGTCGTCATTGACCACAGTTTGGCATATGCTACATGACACGGCATACTTCCCCAGAACTAGTTATCGCTCCAGGTAAACGATATAAAAGGGTGTCAGATATGCTATGTCAGTTAGCCAGTCATCATCTTGCTTAACCCAACGGCCTCGCACACTTCGATAGTTTTTCAACATCACCATTCTCCTTATACAAGGCGAGAAGAATGTTTTGGGTATATATAGATCACCGATAATCAATCTGGCGTAGCTATAGTAGTCCTGGTGGCCATGCTTTAAGTCCAGACCGTATTAGCATGTATGGTCCATGATTTCTACTATAACCAGTTAACCATGCAATTATAGCTCTCTCCGTATAGAGTAACCAGCGGTAACTTGTTAACTAACTACCTAGCTAGTTAACTAAGCGCACAGATCTTGAGCCTCAAAGAACCTAGTAATCTAGTAATGTGAAAGTTAATGTTGGTCAAGATGTCGGACACCTTCATTAATGATGATGATGATGATGACAATATTATATTGGAGTCATGACTTTTAAGCTTGTCATATAACTAGCCAATGATAATAAAAGTATTAAAATACTCTAGTTACCTAAGCACCTCTTCTCCCAAGAACTGTCAGGATTAGTCATCCACTTGTACAGGCCTTTGTGTCCCATGGTCAAATGGTCAAATGGTCCATATCCCAAGTTGTAAGAACCACAACTCGGGATAAAGACGGGTCCGTGCGAGGATGTTGTGCCAGGACGGAGTCAATGTCCGCGATGGTATGGGTCTTTTTGAACGTATTTGTAGTGCTGCGAGTCTCAGAGCCATGGAATATGTAGAGTTGCAGTAGGCCATCGAAATGCTTTTTGAACTCTACAATCCAAACGTTGAGACGAGACAAATTGGCAATGATGATAGTCGGACGGTGATTCTCGTTTTGTCGCAGTGCGGAAAAGTAAACTAAAGAAAGGGCCTGGATAATCTTTCCAAAACCGCACGAGTCGTTTAAAATACCACACTTGATGTTAGATGCCTCTTGATGGAGCATCCAAGATACTCTTTCAACCTGCCAGGCGCGGAGCGTGAGGTGATCGCCGACTTTGGGGTTCTTAGGGTCCAATTGAGGATCCTGTGCTGCAGTGATATATCGCCGTCTGAGGTGCAGGTCTTGATTCTGGGCTGTCGATTCTTCTATTTGCTTAATTAGAAGTGTTGCCCCTTCCCCAACCGACGATGTTTCCGCCATATCTTCATGTGCTGCACTCGCTGCAAACATCGCTGAGCTCATGTTACCTGTTATTTCCTTTAATTCCTCGCTGGAAACAGAGGCTAAGGATATGATGTTTTCAAGGATGCAGCTGCGTATAACTGGTGACGTTTTGCCTCGAAGAAGTGGCTTGGCCGTGTTCTTCGCCAACAACTTTCCTATTCTTTCTTCACTAATAGCCAGAGACTTACTGGTTTTGCCTTGGATGACTTCATCATGATCAGCCATATCTTCGTGTTTGGAATAGCTGTCACTAAGATCAATATCGCCTATATGCAGATTTAGTATACTGTTAACCACACGTCCATTCTCAGATATTACAGTCTACTGCCCTCGCGTCCATTAGCAGTTTCAACAAGGCTTCCGACGCAGTCTCTCCAGCGGTGGCTGGGCTTGAAGTGACATCCTGGTGCATATATTTGGCAGGTATAGCGGGTTTAGCAGCTTGACGGTTCGATTTGTCGCCAGTTGACCCTTTTTGATAGTGACAGGCTAGCGCATACGCACGATGAATATCTTCGCGGGCAATTGTTGCACCTTGATTATCAAAAGAGGAGCCTTTTAACGCATTCCAGGTTGCACGTGCGAATAAGCTGGACAATTGTCCAGGCATAAAAGCGTTGTTCGGTTGTTAATTGAGTCTTGGTGGGATTAATTAGATGAGCGTGTTCGTCTCGATCCATGAGATGGCGAAGTACTTGAAGAGTTTTTGTGGTAGCCTTATCTTTAAGACGGTATTTATTTACCCATCCCTCTAATAATTGTTTAACTTCATTCTTTTCAAACAATTCATCGAGCTCACGGGTATTGTGCATGTGAAGATAACCGCCATGAGAGGTCGGGAACTCCGCGTGCATTTGTTGCCCTTTCCACCATTTATTAACCTAAAATGCTTAGGGCCACCCACAATGGTAAGCCGAGCTAAAATTTACAAATATTAGCAGTGGGTAAGTATAGGCCAGCTCGGCTAGAGTGTGACCGACCTAAGTCCATCCTGACAGCTTTTGCAAGACGCCTGTGCCGTAACAGGCTAAGGATTGTTCTTTTCCTGTAGGGTGAGGCTGGTTGCTGAATGTGGTAAACGTGGCTATCAAGCTTCCCTAGGGATTATGATGCTAAAAAGGCATATTTCATCGCGCAAAGCTTTGGCTGACACATACATTGGTATCGATCGAATGAAGAGCTGGAGGGTTAAATAAATATCAACCTGGGACCAACTTGATTTCCCGCCCATCCCTTAGTAGACACTCACAGAGTGGAGGATACCCTACCTGCAAGACTCAGTACATCAAATTATAGCTTGTTTTGTCATTTAAGGAGTGATAAGAACCCCAAAACATACCTTTTTGCTTGAAATTGCTTGCATATAGGAAGAAGGAAGGAGAAGAGAGAGGAAGGTAGAGGAAGAGAGTGGAAGAGAAGGTGAAAGGAAGACCGCCGATAAATGAGACAGCGGAGTGAGATTTGAGGAAGCCAATGGGGAATAACGCCAATATTGACAAGAGCTCTTGTCACATGGGAAGAGTGTTCTCATTATATCAACTTAGGCCCAGGTTAAAAAGAAGAAAAACATTGTGTGGTTTTGTTAATGGGTATTTAGATTTAATCAATGTTGTTGATTGGTATTGATTGCCCTAGTAGCGGATAGTAGCTTTGAGAGTAGTCAACTGTATATTTAACACCCATGTGATAAAGGACACATATGTTTAGCCCGGGTTGGGGACTAGGCTGGTGCTGTGTGCTTTGAGCCAGTATTGTAAAGGAGATGGATGTTGGTGTTTCTGGTATGGGAGACTCGTAAGTCTTTGGGCGCAGATCTTGATATATGTGTTGGGAGATGTGACTTGGGTAATGGATATAGGGGTATTAGCATCAAGAGTAACAGACTTGCTCTGTAGGGAGCGATGATGTACTTGGGTACTTTGGTCCCAGTTTTCGATGACATATGATGGAAACGTAGCAGGCATTCGGCCGTTATCTGCTGGGCAGATAGATGACGGTAACATACCATCAACTATCGACATCAATCAAATGATATCTATCATTGCTCATGGAGCTCTCCAGGAATATTTATAAATGGCGGAGTAATTGGGTTGTCAGGAACAGTGGCTAAGCGTGCCTTGGTGAGCAGTGTGACTAATAGTAGACAAGGAAAAGCCTCGATAGTCGTTGTTTCTGCTGGTGATAGCAGATCTCTCCGTTATTTCGATGGATACACAAACGGCATCTATTTAACTGCGGTTGGTGCTCTTCGACTGGGAAGGGGAAGGGTAGCCATCCAGAATACTCTAGTGAGATATTCAACGTCTCCTTATGCAACGGCAGTCCTAGCTAACGAGGAAGTAGACGGCTGGCAGGTAGTAAGGCTTAAGAAACTGTTCAGCCATTGTCATAATTACGGCAAGGTTGGCTCATACGGCTTAGTCCAGTGGGCTAGGGACTGGGCACTGGTGAAGCCGCAGACCTCGCTCGTTTTCCATGGCTGAAAAATCATAAGGGGTATTCCGCAGGGGTCCAAAGGCCTTTCCAATGCTTCTGGAGTGAGACGGCCAATGGTATCTACTCTTGAAAGACTAGGACCTGTCACTGTCACCACCGACATCAACCATGCTTGCCGAGGCGATCTTATCACTGAGCTGCACAGCCCCGGAGGTATCGTCAACCGTTTAGGCATGGCTAGACAGAATGATAATGAGACTTCTTCAGGTTAGCTCTGTTGCACACTGAGATTTTGCTTCCCGGACATTCATCCAATGTCATGGATGAGCAGATAACTAGCTAACATTCACCGCCCTTAGGGGTGAAGCCGGCGTTGACAACTAGACCATAACTGTAAAAGATAGTAGGATCAAGAATTACTCGGGAATGTTTGTGAGCTGGCAGCTTAGTCTCTGGTGAACAGTGATGCTCATTAAGCCAGCAAATGCAACAATAGCGAGAAAGCTTTCTGGATCCCAGATAGAGACAATGTGGAGATATCTTGGGGTCTTGGAGTAACTAGTATCCACTGGTCTTTGAAGACTCGGTGGATTGCCTTCTATCTCTGTCAGTTTCAGTCGTGGTTTGTGGTGTGGTTCGGATTTATTTACCTTCTGCTTCACAAACCCCCTGGTAACCAGTACAGCTGGTTTTACCTTGTTAATTAGTGATCGATAGCCTAAAATAGCCATTTATTTGTTCGCTGGGGTCAGCGTCGAACCCTGGTGATAGCGAATGGCTGTGTGCGTTGAGAGTATCTCCATACAAGCTACACTTCAGCTCTGTAGCTTTTTATAGCACAGTGGCCTAAGGAATCATGATCCAGACTGCGTCGCGTCATCAGAATCACGAGCGAGTGAATGTGTTCGGCTGGGCCCAAGTGGCAGGGGCTTTGTCAACCGTATCGTTGGCTAACCGTCCGGATGTCTCGGGTGACCGGTGTCTGTTTGAACCAGAGTAGTCATGGGCTGACCCAGGGGGACAGGATCAATCCAGATGCCTTGCTTGTTGAGACGATAAAGAGTGTTAACTGTCGAACTTGTCAACAGCAAAGACCGACCCTCTCGCTAACTGGTTAGTTAGTCAGTTAGTTAATGGCCAACGAGTCAGCGAAGTGGATTTTCAGGAGAACCCGCAGCCTAGGCTTTACCCCTGTAACCTTGGGCCGAGAACATCCATTCGTTATCTTGCCAGCTGAAAGGTCAACTAGTTAGCCAAGAAAAGCCGACGCCATCCAATCCACGAATGGTTAACTATTGGAGTGATATTAAATACTAGCGCCCGCATCCTAACGAAAAGCATGACAGGGATCCCTTAGCCGTCGCTCTTGAAAGTCAAAAGACATAGGCAAAGTTATGTGCTGTAACAAGTCATCGTATCAAAGAGCCAGCTTAGATACAATAATTTTTAAACCAAAGCACCAAAAATTCATGAACGAATGAATGCCCAAACTGTTTTTATTGGTCGGGCAAAAAATAAAACACTAGATACATAACTCCTTTCCAAATATGAACAAAAAGGCCAAATCAAAAATCTAAGAAGCGTAGGCCTTGCCGACAGGGGTGAGTTGGCCACCCTGAACGAGGTCGTCGGCCATGAAATAGGAGTAACGGGCAACACCAGGGTTGCTATCGAGCCATGGAAGAACCTGGTGCAAGAATTGAACCTGAGAGCCCTCGTCTCCATCTCCGCGGAATTCGGTGATCCAGACCTTGTCAATGTTGTATTTGTGGGCCAAGTTGATGGAATCGGTGATGTGTTTCTTGAAAGCTGGGACATTCTGAGCAGAGTCGTACCAGTGGACGTTGAGGAAGTCGATGTTGCATTGTCCAGCGCAGCCGTCAAGGAACTTGGTCAACCAGCTGAGGCCCATCTCGCCACCACCGTTGGAAACTGCAGGAGAGCCAATCGAGGCCTTGCCAACAAAGGGTTTCATGTATTCCTTGTGTGCCTGGACGGCATCTTGGGGAGCCATATTTGCCTGGGATGGGATATCAGGCTCATTGAAGCTGAGGACGTATTTGCAACCGGTAGAGAGAATCGAAGGGGTGGACTTGGCCCAATCGCCGAAGAATTTCTGTCCCCAGAGCATAGGGGTGTAGTCGATTCCACTACCGATGTTATTGGAGTTGGAGCCCCAATTGTAGGCCCAGGAGGAAGCAGCTGTTCCCTTGAAAGCAGCAACAGCCTGAGGATCGTTGTAGGCCATACCACGCTTGCCTCCGTTACCACCCTTGAGCGGGGCACCGATGACAGAGCTAGCCAGAGTGGCAGCGACGAAAAGAGTGTTGAAGGAGACCATTTTCGCGATAGGGTTTAGAATCAACAAATGCTTGCACAAAAGGTTTCTTGATGTGAGCTGATGAATGAATGACTGTAAATAGCAGCAAGGTAGGGATTGGCACGCCGAAGCGTAGTAAGGAATGAATGGGAGACTTGAAGGAGTGAAGTCTGGTTTGTTAAAGAAAGTTGGGAGGTACAAAGAGAAGGAAAAAGTCTAGGAGGGCGAACGAAGGAATATATATTTCAACCCTGAAGGAGGTCACCCTTTTTCAGGTACCACCGCCAAAGTAAACTTTCTGCCCTGAATTTATTTTTCCTTCTCCTGCCAGGCTGCTATTGGATAGCACTATGGGCGCCTATCGTGACATGGCTCGATATTATGTGTGTGGAGCGCCGGAGAAGTTTGAGCGCTCCTCTGACCGCATCTAGACCGCTTGGGCGAGGGAACTTTTCACAAGCACAACTTGGGCGCCCCGTAACTATTGTGGGCGTACCGCTCAAAAGTATGGAGTTGTCTTCTGAACCCACTGGTCTCGATCGCTCTAGTTTAAGTCAAAAAACGTTCTCACGGACGAACAGATATATCTCCCCCTCCTCATCCGAAGAGTGCTCAGATTGTTTCTGTGATAACCTGCAGAATGTCTGCATAGTGTTTCACCAAACAAGTCAGGCTCCGGAAATCCTGCTGGATTGCTCGGAAAACCTGCCTATCCAACCTCCGGTCTAACAGGGAGACAGGTGGTCGTAGCACATTGGTACAAGAGGAACGGGGGTAACTTGTGGTCGATGCGACAGACATGTGGCATCACGGAGACAGGAGACTGGAAAGGGAAAGAAATGCCTCGCTCATATTGTAGCGATCACTCGTCTGAGGAGTCAAAAATTTTTTTTTCTCATGCCCACGTAATCCCGTATAAAAAGGTTTGTTCCTGGAGGCCGCAACCCAAGGGAAGGCGTTTTGGTATGGAATGAATTCACCCAGGGAATGGCATGTCATTGGTTTGTTCCTGGAACATGCATAAGTCCATCTGCGAGCCAGAGAGGAAGGCGTTAAAATTGGGAGGCAAATTTTTCTTTTTCCTCCAATGGTTTCCAACCAGGTTCCATGGATTCAGCCCCAGATGGAGATGACAAAGCGCCCAATAACCTAGGTCGCCATCTATCGGCAAAAAATATGATCAAAGAAAGCCGTCTACCGTTTGCTTTCATCCCAGATAAGCCATTTTGAAGCCATCATGGCCGCACTGCTTCCACGAGCCCCTTTTTCGTCACTGAACGTTTTGATATTGACGACAAAATAAGCTGCGGTCAATGCCAAGGCTAGCAGGATACGTTACATAAGCTTAAAGCCTAATCCGTTTCCATGTCACATGACTACATATAAAAATGGTTTAAAGGAGAGCCACGTAAGAGTTGGGTTAGGGGAGATGAAACCGACAGGATCCGCCGATGGAAGCGAATATCTGGGGAGGATGACTCGGTAAACGCGGGGGAACAGCCTTTCATCCTGAAACTGAAGGAGTGTGTGAGGATGTTGCATGCATAGAGTGTGTGCATGTCAAATGTCAGATCTTCGACGGGTATGGAGCTTACCCATCATGACGGCGACGCAAAAGTACGGGAAGTTGGGATGTTAATCGTGCAAAATCTTAGCTTATCGGCTCTTTAATCGGCTCCGACACACTTGTCATACCTTCATCCCACTATTAGTTTATATGTGCGGATTCCTTGCGTCGTGCGCTGTATAGCCTTCCTTGGGCAAAGTTGTCAGGGTTATGCGGAAATAGCCGCCAGCTTGAGAGAATGGTGGGTTATAGACAGCTATTAATGTAAGCATGGTTGTTGCAGAGGTAGCGTATCGCTGAGGGCGCAATGTCCCCGCATGGTGCATGAACTGTGATCCTTGAGCGGCTATCTTGAACCGTTGACAGTTGGGCAGTCCGTCTCCAGCGTGCTAAACGTACTCAACTCTTCCCTCTTCCCTCTAGGACACTCAACACATCACTGACATTGTTCTTATCTCCCTTTTTCTTCTTCGGCCCTCGTTTTCTCTTGTTGTGGCTGGAGCCTCCCTGAAGAAACTCTTCATCATCGTCATCCCCAAATCTACTCTCGCCGAAACCCATATCCATATCCAAAGCATCTTCCATCTCTCGACGTCTAGCTTCCTCGAGGAATGATTTATGTTTTTCGCCAGACTTCTTAGCCGCGTCATCGTTATCAGACGTAGCTTCCTGTGTTCTGATAGTGGCAGCTTTTCTCAATGCTTCTCTTATGGTAGGGTCGGACATAAGCGGGTTGGAGCTGCCGGCAGATTCCTGCGCAGAAGCTTCTGGTTGCTGCTTGACTTTGCCTGTAGTGAAATAGTCACGGCGTTGTGTCGAAGGGGGTTTGTTTTCGTTCTGGGTCTTTGCTCCAGGCTGGGAGGTGGTTTCCTTCACGGCTGAACCATCATTTTTGTCATCTTCTTCCTCAGAAGATGTGCCCTCATCTTCGTTAGCATTAGCCAAGGGGTTGTAATCATCGCCAACACCAGCGAATATATCCTCATCCTCCTCAGCCTCCACGGGATCAGTAGGCTTCATCCTCGCCAAAAATTCCGCCGGAACTTCCATCCCAAGCGGCTTTACGTTCTTATCCACTGATAGAAGGTGTGGATTGGCATCTCCCGGTTTATCCAGCCATCTTGTCTTTCTCTTTGTCTTCCCATCTGAGTCTGTGATGACCAATATCTCTTTCCGTCTCCCATTGGCATCCGTCTCGATCCAACGTTTTTTCTTACTTTCTGTGGAGCCAATCTTCTTAAACTTGCTCCCAAGTGAGGGTTCTGGTTGGGGTGCTGTAGCTAGGCGGCTCGCTTTGAGCTGCTTCAAGATCTCATCGCGGGTCATTTTTTTGCTTCCCACTTGTGCCAAAGGCGCCAAAGTGCCTTTCTTCTTCCCCTTCTCCCTTACCTCAATGCTCCCAACCTTGTCCTTCTCTTTTTCCTCCACGATTCGTTCAAACTCATCGTCATCATCATGCGTTGCGTCTGGTTGTGGATCTTGACTCTTAGTGGTAATATCTTCGCCTGCTTTCACCCTCTTCAACAACTGCCAGTCAAGTCCCTTGATTAAGTGAGTACTCGAGACATCACCACCCACTCCAATCTCGGCTCGTAGTTTGTCAAAAGTAGGCTGGTCAATTTGTCCGAGTTTCAATAGCTCCTCTAGCCCACGAACACGTTCTTCTCGATCATCTGCCTCCTTACTATCGTTCCTCTGCCGTAATGATGCCCTATCCTCGTATCCTGGGGCATATTTATACCCTTTTGGGCCAGTAGACGATTTGAATTTCTTGGAGGGTGGCTGACCCTCAGAGTCGCGTCTGTGTTCTGCAAGCTGGCGAGCAAAATCAACACCTGAAACCGCGCGCCTGATTAAAAAACTGACTTAGCATTGGACGAACAAGATCTTCTCTGAGAAAATCCACAGGCTTACGGTGTCATTGGGATGCTGGATCGCATCCTTGACCCCAACGCACCACTTCTTCCTGTGGCAGCAGCATTGTCACCAGACGACGCTTGTTTGGCCGTAGACTCCGTCGGCCTAGCAGAGGTCGTCTTGTTATCGAAAAGTAACCTCCGGAACTGTTCGTTATTCATATTGCAGCCTGGTGATGCAGCTTGTGCCAACAGCTCAACATCTCCAAAGCTCTCGAAAGAACAGCTCGACCTGATCGAGCCATGCCTGTTTCGGAAGGTACATAATTTCATCACGTGTACAAACAACTAGTTATGTCATCCAAATCATTGTTATGTAATCAATCACCCGATATTTTTTCGGACTTTTTCGGGTCCCTGGAGAAAGTTTAAATAAAAAAACAATCTTCTTGCTTTGGTAACTAATACGGAGCAACACGATGTGATATTCAGATAATTATACGGCGTATATCTAAGATAGCTATACACAGAAGATACTGCTGCGGAAACAGTGTGTTACCGTACGTCCTCCCTTCCTAGTGTATTAAAATAATATCGATCTGCCCCTGGAATGGCCACTGTTTGTCCCCACATCCTCGGGCTTTCGCTGTATAGAGTAGGGACCGGCCCTGCTAGGCTCCAAGGTCGTTTGGGATATCATACTCCTTACCTCTACTAAAAAGGCGTCTGTACAGAGCACTTCAACGGTCATTGCTGCTCCGAAAGATATGCTACGGACACTATTAATTTATCGCGGTTAGTAGTTAGTAACCTCCGTACAGGATCCTCCTAGAAGTACAAACTATAACGTATCATCACTCCTTAACCCACTACCTCTTCCCCCTTCTTCTAGTAAGTCACTGTGGTTAGGAACGGTCAGGGGTCAGCGGAATAGATATTTAGAGTAAGAAAGGACAGGCATTGAAAGTAAAAAGACATTGTTGTATAGAGTACTCTAGGAATAGAGAAGCAATAAGGGCAAAGAAAAAGAGGAAGTTCCTGCATAAGGGCTGCATGGCACGGAGTACTAACCCAAATTATATCAGCTGTAGTGTCTACAACGCTCTCTAGTCGAAGGTTGTGAGACTCCTCCGTTGTTTACTCCGCATCCATTGTTTACTCCGTTCTTCCGGAAAAGCGTTGAGGCAGGATGTAAGGATCTGATAGGACCCTGCATGTGATTACAGGGACAAAATCTATAAGGATAAATTGATTTCTGTTTTCTGTTGGCACACTGTAGCTAAACAGAGCTCAGGCTGGGCTCCGGGTTAGTGGTAAGTGTGCATGGCACTTATCCACCAGGTTTCAAATGCAGTAGTATACTTCTTCCATCCCCATTATCTGTCGATTCGGCGGAAATCATACTCCATAGAGAGGAACCCTCGTAGGCGGCCCAGGACGCTAAAGGTAACTTAATTTCTTGTTGAGCACTCTCCAACAGCTGGGCCTTCAGGCACAAAGGATCAACAAAATGTGGCCTTCATGGAATTTCAGGCTCACATAAACCAAAATACGGCCTGGCAAAGCATCTATAAGGGAAGAAAAGAAGCTGTTCCTACTATACAACACCCAGCACCGTTCCACCTATTTGGTAGAAGAAAATCGGAAGACGGGGCCTAGGGGCGATGGGGATATGTAGAATCCTTCCAACAAACCGTCGGACCCAATCTCCGGTAACCAGGCCCTGTTCCTCGTGATAGCTGTGGTAGATCCGATCTGCCGCGGTTCGCATTACCATGCGGAATGAACGATTAAAATCCATGTAAATATTCACACCAATAGGGTATGAAGCCCTTTGCAAGAATTTATTCCCACCGGAATTTCCACCGTAGAAGTGGCTGTGATCTGCTGCTCCCAAGAACAATGCAGGAACAATGGAAATCATGATCCAATCGGTTGAGAGGAGCTAATCGACAAGCAGGCAAAGCTTGCCTGTAGCAAAGAATATCGCCTGGGAGCATTTTTTGAGGACCTATAGCTTTTGAGCTCCAAGACCCAAGATGTAGCATTCGCCCAAGCGGAGTGCTCCTTTTCCCTTCTGCTTCCTGGATAGGAGCCTAGTGAGCACATAGGATATAAATTCATCCTGCTCCTCCTGGTGCTGGTGAGAGGGAACCTCTAGCACAGATTCCCAATTCACCCCCAGCAACACTTCCTCCAATACCTGAAGGAAAGCAGTGACAGCCACCAGCCGCCGGCATGAAGTGGAATCTCACAGCCTCTCTTATCATCTGCCTTGCGGCATCCATATGCAATGCTGGTCGGGACCCTGGCTTTGTTATTCCAGATAGGGTCGACTGCACTGATACACTCATAATTGTTGCCCGTGGAACAAGCGAACCGCCAGGTGAAGGCCCCCAGCACGTCATTGCTGAAGAGGTCCAGCGTAGACTCGGAGCTCACCGGGTCAAGCATATTCCACTTGAATGGCCTGCATCCCTCTTCCCCACGTATGGCGAATCCGTTAAAACCGGTACTGAAAATCTCAAGAAGACGATCTCCAAGTACACTTCCGAATGCCCAGACATCAAGATTGTCCTGATGGGATTTTCTCAGGTGTGTAAATGCAGGCTTATGCAAGGATCGCACGTTTTCTGGCACGCCAACTAATATATGGTTGTAATTATGTAGGGGGCGCAAGTTATCAGTGATACTCTTTGCGGTATGGATGAGAAGAACTTCCCGAAAACTGAGCCCATCGACCCGTCGCTAGGGGCTTTTGGTATGTTTCACTTGTCAATTTATGGACAATAAATCTGTGTCAAGTATTTGGAATGAACTGCTACTAACCGTTTTTTAGTCGCTGCTGCCGTCGGAATGGGAGACCCAACCTTTAACCCCGGTCTTAGCTACGATTATGGGACTGCCACTCATCACGGAGTATGTTTCTCAACAGCTATGTAGCAGAGCAGGATGATTCGGTTAGGGAAAGGATGCTAACTCTTCTGGAACAATTAATAGTGGTTCCCCCGGCGCAACGATAAGTCGTGTGTGGCATACGACTACATCCGCATTTCGTACTGCGATAAAGGCGACATCTATTGCGACCACGGTGTCGACCCAAAAGTTCACAGCAGTTACTTTAAGACGTATTTCGAGCATTGCGTTGAGTTCATCATCGACAGGGTCAAGGCTCGCTAGCCTTGTTCTTAGAATGTGGGTGTACGTGGGTATTGGTATATATATTTGCGCAAACGCGGCGTTCGCTGTATCTAATCTTAATATGTTATTTTGGTTTTGATGAGCACACTAGAGAGTGCCAGTTGCAGGTTTGTTACAACACTGTACTTCTTCCAATAAATATTATTGGTATTGTAGCCGGATATAGAAAAATGGGCTATACGATGTTCGAGAAATCCGCCCCACGAGAATTTCAAATACCGATAGCATGACAAAATCCCAGATACAGCAATTTTTCTTTAATTTGTGCTCTGTGCTCCATATACCCTGACAATCAACTGCCTTAAAATGGTAGCGACATAGGCCAGCAAACAGGATGACTACACTGACGTAGTCCCTGGCGCGCCACCTTGAAATTTGCAGTCAACTGCAGTCAGTCTTCCCACAGAAGAAGGTGAAAGTACGGGTATTCGTGAGAAAGAGGGGGAGCGTATAAGACCTGGACTGATGAGCGGGTATCGAGTCTAGAATGGCTGAGTAGGTTGAAGATGACCCTGCTTTTCATGAGCTGGGCTAGTAGTAAGTCTAACGACGAACTTGAATACTTGTAGGCTCGTTGGCATAAAGAATATGGGTTGGAATTCCTCCCTACGTCTGGTATGAACTGGTGGTATATCTCTAGGCCCAAGTGAATCCTCCGCTGAGACGAGAGCACAGCTGCTGTCCTAACCTTACCAGGTCGCGGTATGAAGGCCCATGGGTTACCGCATGTACATACTCTGTACGCTGCTCTGAACGCTGCTCTGAACGCGTGGCATATTCCTTAACTAGACATGGGTTTCCCAGCCATGAAGCCCAAACACCGCAAGTAAGTCTCTCTCTCTCTCTCCGCGGTTGTTTTGATGTCGTTTCGAACATCGAAATAAATAAAAACACCAAGAGATTTTGCTGGGCAATGCCACGTGATGATCTCACTCAATTTCAACCTCTGGCAAATGCCGAACAACAACTGCAACGAAGACGAGGACGCAGCTATGGCTTGTTGGGAGATGAGCTCTGTATATCTATTAGGTACTATATATGTGAATGATATGGTACTACTTCCTATTTATGTACGCTTTAAAAGGCTAATATACACACCGAACAACATGAAATGCAGCAGATACCGTCTATGCCCATTATTTTTATCTGCTGCTGCCCTCTGAAATTTTCGGCCTGTGAATGAGTGGAGAAGGTGCATAAAGCCGCACCAATGACTTGAGGTCATATTTTGGCTGTGAGCTTTGCGCCTCCCAGCCGAATTCGTAGCGCGGTATAGCCAGCTACCGAGACCAGGAAACTTATGCCAGAAAAGACACATGGATATGTGAAACTGCCGCCGTCTCGCGCGATGATTGCTCCACCGATGGGAGGGCTGGTGAGCGTGGCAATGGAGGCAATGGACACGACCATCCCCATTCGGAAACCAAGCTCCTTCATTGGAGAAACGACGGCTATCAATGGCATTCCAAGTCCTATTCCGGCGCCAGAGCTGATACCAAATAATGCTGAAAATGCAAATATGGCTCCTGTACTCCTTCCGGGTAACCAAAGCGCCAGCACGAGTATGGTTGAGAATAGCGTCATCACAATCATGACGTTGAAACGCCCGATGCGATCGCCGATATAGTTGGGCACCGTACGGCCAAAAAAGCTTTGTTCAAAGTTAGCCATAATTCCGGCGATACATGTACACTGCGTTGATGCTTACCTGGCGCCATTCAGAACCGGCACAAGCGAGTAGGCCAGGCTTTGTGGCATGCCATAGTGGATGGCAGACACGACTATGTAATCGAAAGGGATAAACATTCCCCCTACATAAAACGAGTCAGCCTAGCAATTCACACTAAGAGGATACCTGATCTGCTTACAGAATAAAAAGAACATGGAAAACCACATCAGGTTGAAGTTCAACTCTTTCAAAGGAGAGAAATAGTTCGATAGCTTGAAAGGACGCGGGCCATGGTTAAAGTTCGATGTGATCGTCAAGTCGGCATATATAAGCAGCCCAAGGATTAGAAAGGCACAGATTCGCATGGTCCATCCGAACCCTACGGCCGGGAGGAGATGCTGGACCATGAGCGGGAATATAACCCCACCCAATGACGAGCCTGCAACGGTCAAACCGGCAACGAGGCCCCTCTTCTCTCGGAAGTAGGTTTGAGGCTGAACTAACGGTTAGAGTATATCCTTGATATTGAGAGTGGGGGTGACACATACTGCGGCCATTGCCGGGTTAAAGATGAAGGAAGCCCCTATTCCCGAGCATACAGATTGGCTGAGCACGAACTGATAGTACTTGGTTGAGATGCTTGCCATCATAAGGCCCAGGACATGTAATACTGTTCCGATGGCGAGCGGTACACGTGGGCCATACCGGTCGAACAGTCTCCCAGCCACCGGTGACATGAACATCATGAAGAAGACTAAATTGTTATCAGTTAGCGATGACATATCCGACTTAATTGATGCAATTTGCCACTACCTACACTCCATCGATGTGATCCATGAAATTGCAGACCTAGAATACCCCTTCAACTGGTTCATCTCATAGTTTGCCTGGAACAAAGCTATGCAATTGACCCATCCAAAGGACACAAACAAGGCAGCAGCTGCTCCCGAGACCGTCAGCCATGCCTTGAACCCCCCTTCTGGAAAGGTGGGGGTAGTTTCCTTGGGAGTCCCAGCATCTAATCCTTTCTCAACGCTGGACGCATCTGAAGGCGTAGTCGATTCCTCCATGGTTATGAATGTTTGTACTTGCAGACAGGGGAAGGAACGATAATGCCTTCCAGAGAAGAAGCTGCTCAAGCCAAAGAAGATCGCTATACGGGTTATATGATGCTTATTCTCATCATCCTGAAGCCGTGCATCGCTCTTATATCTTCCTCCTTTCTCGCGGCCTTTCGGCTTCCGCTTGCCTTGATATCTCCGACGTCCGGCCATATGTCATCGGCGATAAACCTAATATGTCCCGGTTAAATGTTATACCGAATCCGACACGTCATAATCTGCAAAGCCGAAATCCTCCACCCGGATTTAGATCCACCCTCGGAGATAGTCGGCCAGACAGAATAAAACGTGTTGATTTTTTTTCTTTCCTATTGATATCAACGAGTTTCATAACTATTGCATTTGCATTTCTTTCGTTCGTATTGCTTCTGAGTCACGACGCAATCGCGTTCGGCTCGATGAGAGTGCGGAGATGATGAAAGAACATTTCACGATAAAGCCGAGCCGAAGAACAGAAAGAAGACTGGCCACCACTGGCACACCACTGGCACTCCCACGCAAGGTTAGGCGCAATACTTAGCTGTCTGCTTGTGGTGAATGCCCTTATCTGCACCTGGCTATTTTGATACTATTTGCTTCCTATCGCATGATTAACGGACCATGGCTCCAGTAGCCAAGAACATACATGTGGGTAGGCGCATGGAACCACGACATGTGCGCTAGCTACTATATACCCGTACGCTTGCCGTTTTCGGCTTTGAACCTGCAGGGCTCTCAACCCAGTCACATCGTTGTAACCCTGTGTACACTCTCTAGTGTCCAGCGGTTCTCCGTGTCAAGCAAACATTGTGGTTGGCATCTGCACTGCACCTGGATTGTCTTTACCGCAATGATTGCCCAGCAATCCAGGTTACAGAAATATGCGGTTTGGCGAGTTTGCCTATCGCACCGCAGTTCATTGTGCATGTTGTGTTTTCACACCTTCACCTGGCTGAGGGATAAAAGGGCGTTGCATTTCCCCGTGGTTTCGATTTATTTCAACCAACCAACAGTCATCAAACAAATAACGACGCTTAACAAACATTGACCATGTCTTGGCTTCCTCTTCTTTATGCCTTTTTCGCCGCCTCCCTCGTTTGTGGAGAGCTCACTATGCGGGGAGTAAAGACTTACTCAAGCGGTTCCCAAGGCGCTTCAGAGCTCGATGTGGGCATCGCAAACAAGTGCACTCTCTACCACCAAGTACTTCAAGGGGAAACTTGTTTGGAGATTGCCTTGCAATATAGTATCTCACCTCGAAATTTGTCTCGTTGGAATCTGTACGTCCAATTCCCGTCCACACAGGAAGCCTTACTAGAGCCATGTTACTGATAAATATTGTTCTTACAGCCTTGGGACCAGGTGCTCTAGACTTCGTCCTGGGCAATTCATCTGTGTTGGAGTGAAGGATATATCCGGTCAGCCGGTCCCTCGTTCAATACCCCTTGATAGCCATTGGGCGGAAGATGCACCGACCCCGAGTCAACCAAACGTCTCCAAGAAATGCGTCAAATGGTATAAAGCGCAACTAAACGACAACTGCAAGATCATAGCTGAGGAAAAATTTCATTCATTTACGCTTGAACAGTTTATTCAGTGGAACCCTGATGTTGGTACGGATTGCATGAGGCTATATGCAGGTTGGTACTATTGTGTTGGCGTTGCTGGATGGGTGATTCCCACTCCAACTGCGATGCCCCCTCCAACAGCTATACCCAACCCCATCCCAACTGATCCCAGGCCAGAACGTCAGCAGCCAGGGACGATTCGTGGCTGCAGGGCATTCCATTTCGTCATGCCAAACGACAGCTGCATTAAGATTGAGGAAACGCACGGAATTTCTGACGCCGATTTTCATAAGTGGAACCCAGAGGTTGGCCCTGCATGTTTAAATCTCTGGGCTGGCTATTACGTGTGTGTTAGAGCATAAGAGGAATGGCTCCTTTGCTTGGCCACTATGAAAGCTAGACATTATTTCTTACTTCTGCTGTTCTTAGGACAATGTCTAAGTCTATCAAGTTCTGGATCGAGAATATCATCGGAAGCTCCTGAGCCTTTTCTATTTTCCTGATGGTCATCTGTATGTATTTCTGCCTGCACCAAACCCCTAACAGTAACCTCTTGTATCAATTGCAACGATCTTTCCGCCTTCCGTTACCGTTCCGTTGATCGGGAAGTTGAACGCCCCAGAAGTTATGGCATACAGAGTATTTGTGTCACCAGGAAGCTTGCCGAAAGCTGGCTGGACCACACCAGACATCGTTAATTCGTCTGGCTCCCCCAAAACTGCGGTGACATTGCCATCGGGTGAAACTGTGATCAAGCGGTTATCTGCATTGGTCGCAATCCACATCGTGTCGTCATTCCGTGGACCAAATGTGAAGTTGTCAAGGAAGAATGAGCGGACCTCCTTAACAAGCTCACCCTTCGCTCCGGGAGCGGCAAAACCTTGCCGTGTCGTGCGAATACGGTACACCCTCGCTTCAAAGCTGTTGGTCCAGTATAGGTATCCCTTGTGGTACTGAAGGCCATCGATTCCGAACTGTGTAGGTGCCCATGCAGGACCACGCATCGTTGGATCTTCGATTCCAAGCTTGTACTTGCGAGCAATGGTATCTACATGCCATATCACCCCAACTGTCGAGTCGGCAACTAAAAGGGTGCTGGGTTTATCTGGGATGACCTCCAATCCAGACAAGAGACCACCGTAAGGAATATGGACAAGCTCCTTAACGATCGCCTTTCCGGGGTTAAATCGACGACGAGTAGGACGAAGATCGAGCTCCCAGACACCAAAAGTACCGTTGATACCGATTCCCAGGTGGACTTGCTTGCCTGCGTAAAAGGCGTAGACGTCTGGCCGTGTTTCTATAATGCTGGTGGCAACGTTTGCGATCTTAGAGTCGAACTGGTAGACCTCAGTGACTTTGGGTGACTTGGTCGTGGGTCCTGAGACATAGTATATTGTCCCATTTGGCCAGGCGGTAGTTACGAGGATATCTCCATTGGAGCGGACATAGAGACTTTGCAGGTATGTAGGGTCTGGGAATTGATGGAGAACTCGATAGGGAAGTGGAAGAGACGGTCGGCAATCTGTGAGAGCATTCACAAGGCACGACAAAAGGGGTAAGAGGACGAAGAAACGGCTGAAGCTAAAGAACATCATGATTCCTAGCTGATTCCAATATCTGCTAACCGGTCAACGAGAAAGAGTGGACTGGCAGCGCCCGATGTCGTGGGCCTGGCTACTGACGGCCATCCAACAATCATATATACCAATCTACCAAAAATTTCTGCGACGTCCTCAAGAACCTCCACAAAATGCAAGTAGGCTACATTATTTCCTCTATTCTCCGAATACTCCATTTGTGCTATTCCTCCGAAAAAGTATCAGTGTTTGATTATCCGAGTGTCTTCCTTCAGCTCCCTCCGATTGCACCAAGTCAAAACCTTCTCTTTAACATCCCTGCGGATTTGCATACGACGACCCATTTTACTGGTAATTGGAACATGATTATATTCATTCCGTCGGCCCATATGAAGAAAGTAATTCGCGATATTCCAATACTTTATCCTATATGGCCCACTTCATATCAACTGAAGTCTGAGCTCTGCTCCGGACCTCCTTTGGGTTTTATCGGAGCATCTCACCTTCGCTGGTGGCTTTCTGGTCTTATAACTAGACACCATGCTCGTTAATTTAAGAGCATAAGTACATCGGGAGTCGCACCGAACAGGCGCTCTATTCTCGAGCGAAACGCTGCCTGTGCCAATTTCCATCGGTATAAACTCCCGTCTTGTTGGAGAACGAACTCCCAATCTCTAATATGAAACTCCCTCTCCTTTCCTTGTTGGTTTTTGCATCCTGTTGTCACTCTCTACCAAGAATTCCAGGCAATAGTTGGGATGTAAAACGGGCGGCATGCGAAAACACGCCTACATCGCGACACTGCTGGGGAAAATATGATGTCGACACGAATTATTATACTACGATACCGGATACGGGGAAAACTGTTGAAGTTTGGCTGTCGGTTGAAGAGGGATTGTGCAATCAAGATGGATATCGACGGCCATGCATGACCTTCAATGGCACCATGCCAGGGCCTGCCATCGTTGCGGACTGGGGAGATGACCTCGTTATCCACGTTACCAATAATTTGAAGAGCAATGGCACTGCTATCCATTGGCATGGTGTTCGTCAACTCAACAGCGTCGAACAAGACGGAGTCCCAGGTGTTACTCAGTGCCCAATCATCCCAGGTGAAAGCTACACATACAAGTTCAAGGTTACCCAATACGGATCGAGTTGGTACCACAGTCACTTCTCTCTCCAATACACGGAAGGTCTTTTCGGTCCTCTCATATTCAATGGGCCCGCAACGGAGAACTATGACAAAGACATGGGCGTTCTGTTCCTCCAAGATTGGGCTCATACAACCACTTTCAGGGACTGGAACGCGAAGGAGAAGTATGGTATCACCAAGTCATTGAACAATCTTTTATTAAACGGTACCAATACTTTCGATTGCACTGGTTCTCGAGACCCCAACTGCGTTGGCGGGGGCAAGAAGTTCGAAATGGTTTTTGAACCTGGCAAGAAGTACCTCATCCGCCTAGCCAATGTGGCGATGGATAGTCTATTCCAATTCAACATTGATGGGCACAAGTTCAAAGTGATTGCCGTTGACTTTGTACCAATTATACCGTACGAGACGGATAACGTTCTGGTCAACGTCGGCGAAAGATACGATATCGTCGTCGAGGCAAACGCTACTCCAGGGGACTACTGGATGCGTGGTGGCTGGCTGAGGGCTTGCCAGGGCGTTGCAAACGATAACCCAGGTTCCATCACCGGTATCGTACGGTATAACTCTAGAAGTACTAAAGTACCGACTACCACCAGCACAATTCAGCCGCCAAAGCTATGCAGCGACGAACCGGCCGAAAAGCTGGTACCTCGCGTGAAGTTTGATGTCGGAACAATTACCGGGACAACTGTCGAGGGAATAAATGTCCGCTTGACACATGCAGCACTATTTCAGTGGACTATCAATGGGAGTAGCTTGGCTCTGGACTGGAACAAACCCACCTTGCAATATGTCTTTAAGAACTCATCGGCCATCCCCACCCCTTACAATGTGGTTCCTGTGGAGGTAAGTTTTACCTGTAAACCCTTGATAAACTAACTAGCCCTTTCTAACTTTTTACAACAGAGGAAGAGCTCCACTGGTGATGAATGGGCAGTGTTGGTAATTCAGAACACTGCTGCAGCGCTCTTTGCGAAGTAAGTACTCCCTACAGTCTATCCTTAATCAAATCTCGGAGAATTCCCTTGGCTAACAATGGCCGATTTACAGTATTGCCCATCCCATTCATCTCCATGGACATGACTTCTGGATTCTTGCTCAGGAGACGGGTAAACTATGGGACGGAAACATGGATTCGTTCAAGCTCAATGGCGTACCGCGAAGGGATACTGCTTTGCTTCCCGCTAGGGGATACCTTGCAATCGCGTTCCGACTCGATAACCCGGGTGCATGGCTCATCCATTGTCATATTGCATGGCACAGTAGCCAGGGGTTAGCACTAGAGTTTGTTGAGAGCCCACACTCTATATCAGTCAGCAACGCGGCCAGGACAGTATTCGATAATACTTGTGCTTCCTGGGGAAAGTGGTATCCAGGCTCACCCTGGCCACAGGATGATTCTGGTATCTAGAAGATCAGTAGCGTAATTCGGTTGGGCCTACTTGTGCCAGCTTAGATGACATATAGTTCCGGAGAATCGTATATAGCTTCTACCGGCCTTAATATACATTCAATAGAGAGGATATCCCAGAAGAATCTAACTATGGTATGCCTGTTCTTAAATCCCATAGGCATATATTATTGGTGGTTTATTAGTTACCGGGAATATGTACACTGAGGCCAAAGAATTAACCTGGAGCGGGTTTTGGCTGGAAGTATTAGCTATTGAACTACAACTAAATATAGCAGTAGATCTTTACAGTAAGCCTTTGTATCCGACAGCTACATTTTTCACCAGTGTTGGTTAAAGAAACGAAGAATAGTCTTGTAGCCACGAATGTACTCTTCCTTGGATCGAGGGTTGGCGAGGTTAGCACGCGCGGCCATCCAGCCATGAACCTGATCATCAAAGGTCTCAACATGGTGTGAAACGTTCAATCTGCTCTCAAAGTCTTTGATGGTATCGGCTGGCTCTTCTTGAGATGCAAGAAGCGCATACGGCACCCGGATTTTGTCGGCACCCGCGGGGTCTACCATGGCTGGGTGAATACCCGCAGCAATGGAAAATGGGTTAGAGTCACGAGAAGTCACAAGTTCAGTGACTTTACCTCCCCAGCAGTACTAAATGGCATGAGTCAGTGGCCCTTGTGATAGGAATGGAATAGCGGACTTACGCCGATGAGGGCCCAAGATTTAATAGAAGGGTTCGCTGCCTTCAGGGCCTCAACATAACCTGGTAGTGCATCAGCAACACCATGGGGGGTGTTATTCCCAAACCAAGCACCAAGATCTTTCTGTTTCTGTTCAGTGTCCGGCGGGTACCTAGCAGTTTAAACGTGAGCTGTCATCTTCTTGACAAGAGGGCGATCGCCTTACCACTCAGTTGGGCATGAGTTCCCCTTGAACCAGTCTGGCATAAACACTTTATAAGTGCCAGTGTTGCTGGCTCCGAGAATGTCGACTCCTTGAACGGTCTGGTCGACGTATCCAAAGATATCGAACACTGCGACGATACCTTTGGTTGCGTCAGAGGATCCAGTGACGTCTATATAAAGACTGATTAGCCATGAAGCGCTCCCCTGGTTCGTGAACAAGCGTACATGTCTTCAGGCCTCCAAGCTCTTCATATGAGCCTTTGGGGACATATCCCGACGTTATAACTGGCGGGATATTACAACAGGCCTCGTTATGACCGTGAGTAGCAGGCATGGTAGACATGGCAGCGGCTCGTAGACAGTGCCTGACTGAGGGAGATAGACGGGTCTTCGTAAGCTGCTGAGTCCGTGTGTTGGCCGTCTGCAAGGTCGAGATAGTCCTAGTTGGTTGTGACAGGGGCGCTGCTAGAGGGCGAGAGGGTGATGGCGATCTTATAGCTAAAGCAGAGGTATCTGATGCTGGTGATAGGGCAGCCGGGTACGCCCTGAGAGCAGAGTGGATGGCGCGTCTCGACACTCTTCCTGGTATCTGCGAAGACATCTTGACCCTGCAACTATAGCAAGTAACCTTTCTCTGGATAGACAGCTACCGATTTCTCGACTGGACCAGACGTGTTCAAGTAGTCCGGCTTCTCGCTGCAGCCAAGGCACGGAGTAGAAAAAGGCCGAAGAAGAGCAACCAAAACAGCAGCACTTTCCCGGCCACGTCGGAGTTTAGAGCGTCGGAGCTTCTTGCTGGAGTGGCAGCGACCGTCCGACCGCCGGACCTGCATTGGGGGCATGCACCATGCGTCTTAAGCATACGAATTATGTGGTTAGAGTGGTAAGACAGGCCGGATCAAAGGAATCTAGTCTGCTCGGTTAATTACTCTGACGAGGCGCAACGGTCGGATGGTCGGAGCGCCCAAAGCGGACGGTCAAGTGGAGCCAACCTTAAGCGGCACAACTTTTAAGCTTAAAATACTTTAATGTGTTTCCCGTCCTTTGTATATTCTTGCGTGTCGAAAGAAGAAACCCACACGGTTGGGGCTGCACACTTCTGGAAATCGACAGGAAAAGGAAAGGGAAGGAATAACCTGGAAAAATCGCTAGGGAAGACATCTTCGCGTATCATTTTTTTGTTTTGAACGAATGTTCCGTCGAAAGCTAGGCTGGTCGGAATCGGAACTTGTCTTAGTCGGAGGAATTGACGAGAAAGGAAAGCCGGCGAAATTCATACTCTGAACCGATGCAGAAGGGTTGGCCGCAAAGAGGTGTAGGTGAAGAGCCCACAGGCTCCAACTATTTAAATTGATAGCTGCTGTTATTTAGAAGACAGTATAGACACAGGCAGCCCCTATTCAAAAATTCCGCCCACACTCTTCATATTCATATCAAGAAACGTGAAAATCAAACAGCCGTATCTGGAATCCTCAAAATGTCAACTCCCAGTGTTCCCGCGGGCGTCATAGTCCCCATGCCAACCTATCTGTTCAGCGCAACGGTGAACCTCGCAAAGCCCCTCGACCCAATTCCCCTACTCGAAGGCGGAGTCCGTATCGTTGAGCCTATCACCGGTGGAACCATCCAAGGCCCAGCTTTCAATGCCACAATCGAAGGTGGTGTCGCTTCCCCAATTATCGTCAAGGGCGAGAACGGTGCAAAAGCGCAGATGGCGTATATTTACGCCTACGGCCATGCGAGCGACGGATCGCCGTTTTATATCGAAGAAAGCGGTATCGGGTCAGGCGCGACTCAGAACACTAGGTTGATAATCCAGGTTGGGGGGAAGTACCAAGGTCTTCAGGCCATGTACGTACTAGGACAGCCGACAGTAAATGAGGCCCGGACTGTGGCGTCTGTGGAGTGTTTCAGCATACCGTTGCCTTGAGTTTAATGTGACCGAATAGAGGAACAGCTGAGGGAGAATCCAGTCTTTTGCAATCAACGAACATGTATACCGCCGCGTGGTTGATTTTTTAAGCAATAAAGTAGTAAAGCTCCCATAACACCAGAACACCTTGACTGGTCATAAATGTACAAGTTTCAAAAAGAATCAATGGGTATAATAAGGGATAAAGAGGCATATTGAATATCATCGCACATGCATCATATGAATGAAATACCGACAGGCAATAGAGCAAACTAGTGTTATCGACTCGTTGCATCAGAATTCGAGCGGTGCTCATCCTGCACATGGACTGTCCAGTCTGTTGTATACCGGATGATGAGTCTATCGGACCCTTCGTCTTCAGTCTGGGAGGGGCCTCCATTAAGGATCCTGCTGTCTGAGAAAGCATCCGCATGTTGGCTGTAGTCATCGGGTCTAAACGATCGCTGAGTACCCCCAAACTTGTTCTGTATTGAGCCCTTGACACTCTTGAGCTGCCGCTGTCCTGATGCCCCAATTCCACGCGGGTTGACCACGCGCCTCAAACTTGTCATGGCATACTCGGTAAAAGTGTTATCGTATACTCCGCCTGCCAAGCGGCTTTTAAATGAGATGCTGAGTAGACCCGTATTTGCCCTGTCCATGAAGGGTTTGAAGCCAGGGAGACAGGTAATGATTGTGTTCAGCATTGCATGGCACTGCGTTGTAACATGGTAGGGGACGCTGTCGAACATGGGATCCCCGTGGCCGTCAATATCCTTGAAATATGTTGCTCGAAGGATAGACGCTGCTATCACACTAATTTTTTTTTTGAACACGCGTTAGATAGAAGCTACCGATGGTCACAAAAGACCGAGGTAGAGAAAAACATACACTCCACGACTGGCAAACACGCCAAAGACGATCCTCTTCTGCGTCTTGTTCATGTGCAAGTCCCATACAATCCACCCCGGAACCACGATCAAGCAGAGGTCAGTAAACACATCTATTCCTGTGGCGGCAGACCAGAAAGCGACCTAGAAACGATGCATTAGCGCAGGTTATACATCTATAATCGAGGAGCGGAGGATAATTATATCATACTATGTTGAAACATTTTGCATCGGAACGCGGATCCCAAGGTGCAGAGGCGCTGCACTGGAACCCATAGACAATGATTGCTATCACTGTCCAAGCCAGCAGGAAGATCAGGGAGCCCTTGATCCCGCCTCTATATTTGTTTGCTGGCACCACGCGCTCGATAAAACTGAGAGTGGAGAGCTTTGCCAGGGAAATGGCCAGGATATACATTATCGATGAGACAAACACGTCCTATCTCTGCCATGTTAGAATATGCTAAGAGCCAGCGGAAAGGAAACAGCTGGACACAGTCCGGCATACCTGTCCAGCTTTTGAGATCTGGGCTTCAGTCAGCTTTGACTCGCGCTGTCCCAGGCCGTGATTGACTGCCATGGATATGGCTATGACACCGCCGATATTGACAAGCTGCGCTCTAGTCAGCTTCATTCCAATAACTACATCCAACTTGATGTTGCGCCTCTGGGGTGATATATTTACCATGGAGCCTACAACGATGGCATCGTCCATTCCCGGGATATGGGATGTCAGATACCGGACTGCCAGTCTCAGCGCGGTGGCCAGAATCATCACCACCATGGCGAACCAGCTCACGATCTGGATGATGGGCCCATGGTTATCGGGCGTCACTACCGTGTGTCTCACGCCATCAGCCGGCATAGCTCAGGACGACAGAAGTCGAAGAGGTTTGTCAATGTATGCAATCAGTCTTGACGGGGAGGCTGAGAGGCTCTCGATGCCAAAATGATGAAAGATAAAAATCCATGGGCCAATGCAGCTGATGCAGGACAGGTCAGGGACGGGATATTAACTATCTATACAGGAAAGCAACACTGGATTCTAGACAGAAAAACACCGGCGTTGAACGGTTTCAAATGCGCATACTCCGTACAGCAGCTTCGAAAGATAAAAGAAAAGAGACGAAGCAGCAGAAGTCAAAAAGTGAAGAACTGACGATCTGGGAGGCCCAAGAGCCAGCACGTCGATTCCCGAACGAAGCCTGGCAAATGTGGCGTGCGAGAGCGAGAGTGACCGGGCTTCACGGAAAAGGTTTGCTCAGGGGAGTTGACACAGAATCAGAGGAAGACGAAGGAGGAAAAAGGAACGAATCTTCATCCTCCTGCACTGCAAAAGGTGGCAGCCCGCCTATAGGTCAAGACTCCAAACCAGATGTCAGAACCTCCCTTGGAATCAGCTTATGCTGCACGGTACATGTACGGAGTATGTTAGATGCCGAATCGCGAGGAAGCGGAAGCGGCAGCGGCAGCGGCCCTTCGAGCCTCTCGCCGGCTGAGCTTTGCGGAGGGACGCAGGAGAAAGAAAGGATCCTTTCATCACACAGCCAAACAGGGCTCGAGGCCTGGGCGAGCAAGCCACCCCAGTTCCCTGCCCTGTCTTGCCCTGTCTTACCCTGTCTTTTCTGTTACGAGCGAGGGCTAATTTACCAAGCCGACGGCAATAGTTGACAATGGCCAGGCTAGGCTATTCTGACACTTGGAGCTAAGTTGATCGAGAAAAGCGAAGCGATAGCCACCGGTTCTCCCGAGAGTGTGGCCAGAAAAGAAAGTCACCGTTGGCGTGAGACTGCACTCAGGGGAATCCTTTCTTCTTTCTGCTTCGTATAGGAAGCTTCCTGACCTTACCAAGAGAGATCCGAGGGCAAAACGGTGGATTGGGGGGCTGGTTGTTTGACTGTCGGGCGATCTTGAAATTCTGGCCCGTATCGGTTACGAACGCCATGCCCAGACGACAGCGGATTCAGGACGCTAACTGGCGGACATGGATCTCCGGCCCATAATAGCGATGTATATGTGAGAATTGTATTGGTATCAACCATACAGGAATGGCTAACAGAACGCCCTCCCACACATACCCGTGCTGATAGCGTGGGGACCCATCTCTGCTTGAGCTAACGCAGTCAAGTAAATATTGTCAGGGATGTGCCTTTGACAAAAGTGCTTCAGAATGGACGCTCGACCTGCAGCTAAACCGCATGGAGGATTTGTTCTCCAGTCGAGATGGAGACGAGTTATCCCCCTTTCCGCTCTGATCCCCGGCAGGAGAAGATGCCATTGGGCAGCACCAGCTTGACTGAGTTCACTACTGATTCCGTCATTCTGGGGAGCGAGTTGGAAAGTTCCAGTTCTTCGCAGCTTGTTTTGACTCTCCATGGCAAGTTCGTTACTCCAGAGACAGGCCTTCATCAGCCCAAGGCTTTTTTCCTGGGCTCCTGGAAAGGACTCAACGGGATACCAACCGCCGATCGAGTGTATTAGTTATCCAGATCGTGGCCCAGCTGAAGAGCGCAGTGGCCAAATCAATACTACTCTGTCCATCTTTCAACAGACATGGAAGAGCGCAACCGTCTGAGTCTCGGCCCTCATGCGCTTCGTAATAGCCCAGTGGTGGGCCAGTCCGCCTATGATAGAAGCACAAGTCGATGGTGAATACGGAGAAAGCTTTACTCCGTCATTATCATCGCCCAGGGGGCAAGACAAGCAAAGAGGCCGTGAGCCGCCCCTCGTCCAATGCACTAGGGGGAAGAACGAGAAGCAAAAGGAAGAATCCCTGAAGCCGCCAAGCAGCGTCGGATCTCTAGAAAATTAGAAAACATGTTGAGAGCTAAACGGCTCGGGTTGTCCAGTCTCCTGACGCCCTCGTCTGTGGCTTGCTTGCAACTCGCATAGTGTGAGAGGGGCTTGTACTCTGGGTTTTTCGGGATGGAAGCGCCAGCGAGCTTGGCCACGGTGAAACATATCATGGGGGCAAGGGTTCGAGAGACGTTCATGGACTGAGCTTCGGTGTTTAAACCTGTGCAGAGCAACTATAACTACTCTGCCAGAGAGGCATAAACTGTAGCCGGTCATTGAGAAAAGGGTGCTGAGTCTGCCCCCTGAACCAGCTACCTTGCATATTGAGATCGCAACAGGGCGCCCAAATATGCAACCAGCAGGGTCGCCTGTACCTATACACAAATCATAAATCGGTTGCGACGATAATATCCTACCCTGGTCCCCTTCAAGGGAAGAAACAGAAGCTGGCCGGGGAGCCCTACATGCAGTTCCCGAAATCCACACCACGTCTACTTTTCTCTCCGTCCTTTTCGTCTACTCTGGTCCCTTTTTGAGATCTTCCTTTTCACTCCCGGAAGCCGCTCGCAGAACCGGATTTGTTCTACCAGCGGATAGTCAATCAGTCATTCTACTCACTGCGACGGAAACCACGCAGAGACTGAGGAACTCGTCACCATGGCGCTGGGACAATCAGAGGAAAAGATCGTTTCTCAGGTCCAGCACCATCCGGTCAACAACAACAACTATGACGGAGAAGCAGCCGCACGGCCAGATCAGGATGCTGCCGACATGGCAAAGCTGGGTGTAGCGCAAGAAACAAAGGTCTGTATGCTTCAAGTATTGTAATTGTTGGATATCTGAGGAAGCTGGCTTGGCCTGGAAAAGGGAGGCTAACCACCTTACGTTGCGCAACAGAGACGATTCGGTTTAGTGACAATATTGGGATTCACAACATGTATCATGGGGACATGGGAATCGGGTCTTCCGTATGTTGTTGTTGGTGTCATAACTAACGCGGAGGGAAGCGATCAAAGAAGTGCTAATGTATTTGCCTTTAGATTTTTCCTCACTGCGTACATCAATGGAGGACCGGTTACCATGGTCTACGGCTTCATCCTGGCCTTCTTCGGATCGCTGGCAACATGCGCCTCTCTGGCTGAGATGGCTTCGATGTAAGTGTTTGTCTTTACGGCTCTATTGATATAGTTCACCTTGCCAGGCCGTGTTACTAAGTTTTGAAACAAAAGGTACCCTATCTCCGGTGGACAGTATTACTGGGCATCGCTTCTTGCACCCCCAGGAAAGGTCAAATTTCTCAGCTTCTTGACTGGTGAGCACCCCGTCTGGGCTACACTGACTGTATCGGGTTCGTAGCTAAATCTATCTAGGCTGGCTTTCTGTGCTTGGGTGGCAGTCTGCCTCTACCACCGGTACATACCTCGGTGGTACCATTATTCAGGGGGTCGTCAAACTCAACTACCCCGAATACACACCAGAGAGATGGCAGGCTACCCTTATGCTGTATGCGGTCCTCATTCTCTCCCTATCCGTCAACGTTTCTCTCGTAAAGTGGTTACCTGGGGTTGAAGGAGTCATCCTGATCATTCACGTCGTTGGATTTTTCGCCATCATGATACCCCTGGTCCACCTTGCTCCTATCAGCTCCGCCAAGTTTGTCTTCACAGAATTCATAAACATCTCCGGCTACAGCAATAGTGGCCTATCCTGGCTTATTGGCCAGTCGGCCAGCGCCGTCTTGTTCATTGGATACGACGGCGCATGTCATATGGGTAACTAATTTATCCTCCCTCCTTTCATGCAACAGCCTTGCATATGCTAACAACCTGATAGCGGAGGAAGTGCAAAATGCACGCATCAACGTCCCCAGGGCCATGTTCTTTACCATGTTCATCAACGGCGCTATGGGACTCGCGATGTACCTTGTCATTCTGTTCTGTATTGGAGACATAGACAGGGTCGTCAACACCGAAACTAAGGTCCCCTTCATCGAGCTATTCCGAAACTCCACCCAGTCAAACACAGCCGCCACAGTTCTAACCTCTCTGTTAATTACAACTTACATTGTTGCAAACTTCAACTTCATGGCCTCCGCATCAAGGCAGGCCTGGGCTTTTGCCCGTGATGGTGGCCTGCCATTCTCCCATATTCTGCGAAAGGTACTTAAACAACACACGACGAAATTTAAATTTTGATATTCAAGAAGCCCTGCTAACTATCAACTACTGCGATAGATCGACCGCAAACGATCTATCCCTCTTTACTCAATTGCTCTCACTGGAGTACTCAATGCCCTCCTTGGATTGATTAGCATCGGATCGAATGTTGCATTCTCTGCCGTTGTCTCTCTGGTCGTTTCTGGATACATGTCCTCCTACGTTATCGTCATCTGCGTCATGATCCATAGGCGACTGACTCATGTCCCAATCGAGTTTGGCCCATGGAATCTTGGCCGGTATGGTCTACCGATTAACATCATCGCCGTCATATATACCACTGTAACGGTCATATTTGCTTTCTTCCCCCCATCTGTTCCTGTCAATGCCGAGAATATGAACTACTCTGGCCCTGTTTATGGCCTGGTCGTCGCCTTCGGAATTGTGTACTATATCGTTCGTGGCCATAAAACTTATGTAGGCCCAAAACTACCCCGAAACGGTCTGTAGGGGGTTGTCACTACCAGTTGTTCGTTTTTAATGACCGATTTTAATGACTACTATGTGAAAAGCTATTGAACTGTTTCCATCTTTGATGCAATACGGCGGCTGTTTTAAAGTGTATAGATATGACTAGGTCATTAGCAATCAAGTCTAATATTTACCTACCTTTACTACAAACAAACAAAATTTCACCGGTACATATATATGTGAAAGTGCGTCAGCGCTGTAGATACTGTGGTTGAGCTATAATGAAATTATATACAGAATGTCTATTAAAAGACAGTTGTTAAAAGATGAAAGAGTCGATTGTAAATAAACGCATAATAAACAGTAAACTTGCAAAACATATAAAGGAGTAAGCCTATGGATGAACTTAGCGAACATCTCTACGAAGACCTGACGTTCTTTAAGCGATGATGGTAGGTATAGGCTCCCCCTGGCCCTTCACATCACCTTTCTTAACAAAATCAGCTCGAGATGGCAGAGGCGTGGGAATAGAGTCATCGTCAGAGAGCGAGGGAGAGTCTCCGAGCCCGGGAGTAAGTACTGGGCTTCCCATTGACGACGGTGAGGAGCTGGCGGTCTCTTTCCTCGGTATAGAGCCAGTGGGCCCAACTTTGGCAGAATGAGCCCCTGCTGGGGAGACGAGCTCGAGCTCTCGGGAGTATCCTCCTGGATGGGCGACATGTTTTCTAACGCAGTCTTCACTAGGTCGGCAATTGAGCCGCCTCCAAGTATCTTGAGGGTAGGGATGTCAACTTCCAGTTCCTTGAGGAACCAAGAGCGAATGTCAACTGCGACAAGTGAGTCAACACCCTGGTCAACAAGGGCAATGGAGTCTTCCAGTTTCTGTTCTTCCGTCATCCGTAGCATACGTTTTAAGTGAGCCAAGAATGCATCCCGAGTAATTGTGTAGGCGTCTTGCTCAGATTTGGCGGTCTGTAGTTGAACTCGGACACGTACCCCAGCCTTGACAGCCTGAATCTCTGAGCCAGTCTCTTCACGGAGGATGAAGTGGTTGAACTTGACATCTCGTCTATGGGCTTCTTGGACGAAGAAGTCATTTGGCAGGTAGTTCACTCCCATGGCAACCTGGGCCTTCACTTGAGACGCTTGGCCCGGGCGGCCGGATACTACAGCCTCAGCGAATAGAATGTGTAGGTCCTCCTCGCTGATATTGATATACCCAACTGACTGGAAGTAGTCAAAGTCGAAGTTGATCGAATTTGCCGCATATCCTACTCCAAGGACCGCCGGGATGCTCATGGCGGATGCAGCAACTCCACGGTTGCGTCTCTTATAGACAAGGGAAGCCATATATTCATTAGCTGCGGAATAGTTGCTTTGGCCACTCCAACCAATGACGGATGCAATACTAGAGGCCACAATAAAGAAGTCAAGCGTTTTGTCATCATGGAACTCCTCGTCCAACAGCTGAGTGCCCAGAACCTTGGGATTGATAACACGCGTATACTGTTCATAAGACATCTTTGAAAACAGTTCATCATCCAGGATCATAGCACCGTTCATAACACCCGCAATGGGGGGCAGGGTATCCTTGATAGCCGTGTGAACACAATGAAGGGATTCGCGAGACGTTATGTCGAGAGACATGGCTTTAACAACTGCTCCATATCTCTTCTTCATGTCTTCTATGAACGCTGGGTTCACCTTCGGCGTGCGGCTAGTAAGGACAATATTCCGTGCTCCGTGGGCAATCATCCAGCCAGAAAGAGACTGACCGAGCTCTCCTGCCATGCCGACGAAGAGATAGGTACGGTTGGCTCGGAATAGCATACCAGAGTCAATAGGTTGGACCTTGGCCGTAAGGGACGTACTGGTAGTCCATTCCACTACGGTCAGAGGCTTTCCAAGACTTTCGATCGAAGATATAGACTCTAGAGAGATACAAGGACCATTGTCGGATGTAACCTTGGTGTCATCTAGCGCACTCTGTAGAATCTGGGATAGATCTAGCAATGGTTCAACGTTGGGTCCTCCAGTGATTTCATGGCTTAGAAGAGCATCTTCGTTCATTTGAAGGCAGGCAGCTGGTAAACACGGAATAATGGAATCTCTGACAGCATCAGACGAATTTCCTCGCAAGAAATGGATGAAAACGGCCGTAGATTCCGGAATAATGGATTTGATAACATGTCGAGGGAAGTTTGGATGAAGGAATAGTGAGTTGCCGTTCGAATTCTGTCGTAGTTTAGCGGTAGTGAATACAGACTTGACACCTTTAGCACTGGCCTTCCTGTGTATAGCGGACTCTAACGCGGAGTCTGCCTCATTCACAAGTAGGATAGCTCCTTCAGGAGTGAACGAAAGGATCCGCTCAGCCACAATGCTTGACGCTATAGAGATTAAGGTATTTGTATCAAGAATTTCGGGAATAGGAATACAACAGCGGTCTGGAATATTGGCTGGAGATTCTGGTGAACTTGAGAGTGCCAAAATCGTTTCGTTTGAATTGACATCGACACCCATGCACAGTCTGAAGAACCCTGCTGCTCCTACGGCAACTGTCTGAAGGAGAGAGTGAGTGATTCTCAAGGTGCGATATTTGGCCTCAGGGATGTTTGGTAGCCTTAATGGAGACACTTTGTGAAGCTCCAAAGCCCGCTCTTGACCATGGCCGCTTCCTACCAGTTCCAGAGTATCCGTCATGGGATTGACTTCGGTGAAGACCTCCCTATGTTGTGAGTTATAGCGCATATTTTTCTCAGAATCCGGCAGCAGCCTTGTAACCATCTGCTTTCCATTTTCTATGAACACCTCTGGCTCATCGGTCCACAGCAAGGTATCGTCATCAATACCCCAGCTCTGAAGTACGCGTTGTCTTAACAGTGTTTCGGCCAGAGTAGCCGCAGTTTCTGGTTCAATACCTCCGTTTGCGGACTTGGAATCAAGGTCGAATAATTGTAAACTCAAGTCAGGATTCTCATTCTTGATTGTGCGAGCAAAACCCATCATCATATAGCTATAGGGGGTATCTTCACGGGATCCACAGGTTACCCAGATCACAGTTCCAGCCGTTGCACATGTCTTGAGCGCCTTAAACTTATCCGCAGTCAGGCCATCAAGATACGGCTGGTCAAGGTCTGTGAGGGAAAGAATTGACACTGCCCCAGAAACAGACACTGATTTAGCCATATCCGAGCAAGCAAAGTCTTCCACGGTATTGAAGAACTCCTTAACAGGGAAACGGTGGGATAGGACGCCAGATACTTGATTTCCAAGCTCTTTCACCCGGTCCATAGTCCCTCCAATAATGGCAAGAGCGTCAGTTCGTACGCCGACAGGATGTTTCTGGACAGCAAGTGGGTTTCGGAGAAGTGTCACTTGATCATTGATAGCCTGGCCAACAAATACACTAATAGGGAGGGAAGAGTCGATATTAGGCGTGACCGTATCAATTCCAGAAAACCCTGTCTTCTTCAAGACTGAATCCCACTGGTCAAGGGTAAGCAACGGTCCCCATGGGCGGCCTGTCTCAGCACCAATCCACCATCCGGGGAGAGTTCCAACAGTCATACCGCTGAACAGGAGGTCAGTAGAAGTGAGTTCACCCACTACTATGAATCCACCAGGCTTGAGCAGACGACGTATGTTTGACATTGAAGCCTCCATATCAGCAGACACATGAAGCACATTCACAGCCACAATTAGATCGTACGAGCCTTCGATGAAGCCTTGCTCTGCAGGGCCCTTCTCCATGTCGAATACCTTAAAGGTCATACGGCCGCTTTCCTTGGCAAATCTTTCTTCTGCTGCCATAAAGAATCCACTGGAGATATCCGTAAAAGTATAAGAGGAGTAAGCACCGTTGAGGTTACGGAGTACCGAGGATGTAGTTGCACCTGTACCAGCTCCAATTTCAAAAATATTGAGGCCAGGGTATCTATGAGAGATTTGAGACACAACCCGAGCGAGCCAACGGCTTGTTGGCCCAGCGCATATGGCATTCTCCTCGTAAAAAGCCCGGAGAAGGCCATCTTGATTCATGTGTTCAAGCATAGAGTTTCCAGCGCGAATTACGGGTATCAGATTGTCCCCTACCACTTCAACAAAGCGAATATCCTTTCGACCCTCGTACCGGGCCAAAATCTTGCCAATGTCTTCACGAGAATCTTCGTTGCATTCTGGACCAACCTTCGGAGTTTCGCCTCGACTAACCATTCCAACCATCCGGTCGCACCACTGGAGGTATTTTTGGAAATGAGGGAGTAAACCATCCCGTTCCCCTAGAGGAATGGATATAGAGGCATGGCGTGCAAACCAGTAGGAAACACGATCAATGTCTTTATACATCTGGACTTCAAATTCAGTCACTGTTTCGCCCTCAGCGGCCAGTTGTCCATCCGGTGAGGCAAGTTTATATTGGAAATGAGAAAATATTGGAAGATCGTTCTTCGGAGTGGCAGGAGAGAACGGAACTAGTGTTGCACCTTCGAACTGCACAATAGTGTGAGATCTATCTTCAGTGTTTAAGTAGATGTCTCCAATAATCTGGGAGCGCTGTTTGCTTCGAATGAACGTTTCGTATTTCATGGCTCCCTGCTTGCCACCGGCACCTAGCATTGTGAAGTATGGGTTTATCGTCACGGCGGAGATCGAAACCGGAACATGCAATGACCATAGTTGGGTATCACCAGGATATGACCAAGCCGCAAAAACAGTCTGGAGGGCAGAATCAAGCATACCAGGATGAAGGACCAGCTTATCATCCCATTCAGAGCCAGATTGGTCAGAGAGTGTACCGATACTATAACCAGACTTTCGTTGGATATCGGACACGCCTGTAAATGGATGGGAGTAACCATATCCAACTGTGGAAAGATTTGCATAGAAACGATCGTCTGGAACAGTAACCAGGTTGAAAGCCTTCGCCTTAACTAGAGGTAGGGTATTAGGTTTAGCAGAAGATAGTTGGCCAGAAACTTTGCCTTTGGCATTCAACAGGATATTACCGCCGTCAGCCACTGAGTAGCAAGCCCATTCAGCTGTAATACTAGTCGTTAAGATATCGATTGAAGACATGCTGAAAATAATTTCGACACTGGAATCATCATCATTGAACGCGATTGCTCGAGGGATGCCAATATCAGTCAGTTTTATCATGCCGACGGTGTTATCAGCCCCATTATCAAAGATGATGCCCTTGATAGCTTCGACTGCCATGCTCACATATCCAGTGGCAGGAAAAACAGTCTGCCCTTGCAGCCTATGGCCCTTGAGCCAAGGCATGTCATTAGGGCGCAGGAAATTCCTCCATTGAAACTCTCCGGGTGTAGTGGCCTCAGAACATGGAGCTCCCAGAACTGGGTTAGGGAGATGTATAGCCCGCCTGTTTTTAAAATGGTTGGCCAGGCGGCTATTCGTCCAATAATTGCGTTGGTGTTCAAATGGGTATGAAGGCAGGTCTTTCAAGCTTTTCCTACTTTGGATGCCAGAGAGCAGAGTTTCAACTTCAGAAAATCGAACACCGCCAGAGCCAAGTCGAGTCCAGACAAAGCCAAGGGCATCGCTGACCTGCGTCACGTCTTCAAGTCCACGGGAGAGTAACCCACTATATGGGACATTGCCAATAGTGGCTGTTGCGGGTCCTTTTAGAGCAGGGTGTGGGCCAACCTCGATAGCAAGATCGAATTCACCAACATTTTTTAGCGCTTTCGAAAGCGCATCAGCAAATAGTACGGCATTGCACATATTGTCAACCCAGTACTGGTTAGTTAATCTGTCACTAGTCATTGGCTCGCCTTCATAGACACTTGAGAACCAAGTAGTGGGTGAAGTCTTTTGCGGTGTGGCTGGCTGGATAGAGCATCCCTCCAGTGACGATAAGTAAGGGCCAGAACACGATGCCATATGAGCACTATGATATGCGGTGTCAACCTTAAGCTTCCTGGCGAAGATGCCTCGAGATTTGAAGATCTCCTCGGCTTCAGTGACAGCGTCCTCATCACCACTCAAGGTCACGCTGGAGGCTGAATTCACCGCGGCAACTTGAAGCCTTCCGACGAACCTTTCTTCGGAGCAGAAGGCGCGGGCATCCTCCGCTGAAGCGCCAACTGCCATCATGGCTCCACGAGGGGCATGTTTATTTGGGCTAGATGCTAGCCGAGCGTGTACACCGCGGAAGTAGGCAACACGTATGGCGTCTTGTGCAGATATAAAGCCGGCTGCATAGGCAGCACCAATCTCGCCAGATGAGTGGCCAACCACAGCACGGAAATAGATGCCTGCCGCTCGGAGAATATCGACGAGGATTATCTGAACAGCCGTGCACAGGGGCTGGGAGAGAGCAGCCTCAGCTATACGTGAAGTGTCTTTCCCAGCAAGAAGTTGATCTTTGAGTGTCCAGGAAGGTCGATCTCCTGGGGATACAAGACTCTGAAGAGCAGCGTCTAGTTCAGATATACGGGATGCCGCAAATGGGGAGAGTTCAATGAGTTGAGCACCCATTCGTGGCCATTGAGCACCTTGTCCAGTAAAAATGCCAATTATCTTTGGGTCAGAAACAATCCCAAATCTGGTTCCAAGTTCTTCTTTATCCGACTGGGGGTGGACAATCTCATTTAGTGACGTAATGGCATCTTGAACGGTCATTGCAGAAATGGCTTTTCGGTATGATAGGGTAGACCTCCTATGTTGTAGAGTATAGGCGAGATCGGAAAGTTCCGTTTCTGGGTTTCCCGTGAGATAATCAAGGTGTTGGGATAACATTTCCCGCAGTGCCGCCTCCGACGCAGCGGAGAAAGTCAGAGGTGTAAAAACGGGGGCTATAGCCTTTTTTTCCGGGATATACTGCTCCAAAATACAATGGGCGTTTGTGCCTCCAAAGCCAAAACTGTCAAGGGTGATTATTAGTATAACAGCGTAACTACCTTCGGATTTGGAGGTTCACCTACCTATTCACACTCGCCCTTTTCACCTGCCCTTCCTTGACAGGCCATGGGGTCGGAGCAGTGGGGATCGCCAGGTGCTTAAAGAACGGAGCCACTTTAGCACTTAGATTTGCAAAGTGTAGATTCGGAGGAACAATGCCATATTTCAGCGCCAAAGATGTGCTGATCACACTGGCCAGGCCAGCTGTGCCCTCAGTGTGGCCGATGACAGTTTTAATAGACCCGACAAGCAGCTTGTCTGCCATCTTGTCAGCAGGGGACCCAGCGGGAAAAAGCGCATTCGAAATAGCTTCCGCTTCTTGCGGATCGCCGGCCTGAGTACCCGTGCCATGAGCATGGAAGAATTGCGGTCTATCCTCTAGGTTGTTCGCTGGATCTAGCCCTGCCCTGGCATAACACTCACGGATAAGATTTGTCTGTGCGATGTTGCTGGGCATAGTCAGACCAGTAGTTTTACCGTCCTGATTCACGGCGGTTTCCCGGATTACGCATTCAATTGGGTCGTTATCCGCTATGGCTTGGGAGAGTGTTTTTAGCACAACTGCAGCAACACCTTCGCCTCGCGCATATCCATCTGCGGAAGCGTCCCACATAGCGCAACGCCCGGTAGGCGAAAGCATCCCAAGGTTACTCTCGGAAATGTACATTGCTAAAAGGAAAATCAGTCAGAATTTTCTAGCATTAAGTGAGAGGTGTAAGGGCATACCTGGGCTTAGTATGAGATTTGTGCCGGCAGCAACTGCGACCTTAGACTTGCCACTTCGTAGAGCCTGGACGCCGAGATCCAGGGCAACCAAGCTACTAGAGCATGCTGTATCAATGGTCATGCTGGGACCATGCCAGTCAAAGAAATAAGATACACGATTTGCTACAATGCCTCTCTCGAGACCTGTAGCGGTATATCTCGGCAGCGTCTCCCAGTCCCTAGTCAACATGGTGCTCCAGTCATCGGACATTAGGCCGACATAAACAGCGGTATCAGAGCCTCGCAATCTCTCCATCGGCTGCCCAGCAGCACAAAGTCCATCATAGACGACTTCCATTAGCACACGTTGCTGGGGGTCCATGGCATCCACCTCACTAGGCTGGATATTGAAGAATCCAGCATCGAATTTGGCAACATTGCTCTTATTTGTGTCCTCCAGCCAGTAGGATTTAGTAGCGTTCGTGGTACCGTGGTGTGTGCCAACCGGGTGGTAGAAGGCGTCTATATCAAAGCGAGAAGCAGGCGGTTTGCTGCTCAAATCACGGGGGTTGTGGATAACGGACCACAATTTCGAGGGCGTATCGGCGCCTCCTGGAAACCGAAATCCAGATCCGATGATAGCAATAGGTTCAAGCATTGTGTCGATGCACGAGCAGAACAGAGTAGGCTCTGATAAGATCTAGGTTCCCCGAATGTCGGTTTGTTGGTATTAAATTTGGCTTCTAGGTGGGGACTCTTGAATAAGACGGGTCAAAAACGTTTCTTCAGTGCCACAGTAAGCCGAGTTGAATAGTTGAATGATGAATTCAGGTTCAGATGGGAGAGGATAAGGCGGGCCAGAACAGTGCGAGGAGATGAATCCTGCCAGAGTTGTTCTAATAAGGCACTGAGAGTAAAGTGTTTGCCTTTGAAGCTATTGGACTTGAGGATGTGAATCAAAATGCCATTCAAGCTGCCTTTTGGATATTTTCATGGTATATAAATAATTATATGCAGAAAGGCTTTTGCCTTTGAAAGGTCCCGGAAGCTGAAGTCTTGCTGCTATGGTTCGGAAGTAGCATATCGGGTTCAGGAGAGGCGACGACATTGTACGTACCGAATAGGCACAAGTGATGGTAGATTGGCCGGAATGCTTGCAGGGTTGGTATTCGGAGAAGTGTATCACGTATAATAAGCTGAGTACAAAACATTTCAATAGACACCGGATACTATATGACCGAAAGGGGAGTCGGAGAAGGAATGATGGAACATTCGGAGGTCAAGCCAGTAACCTAAAGAGTCGGTATCTTCGCCTTAAAGTTCGCTACACGAGCCCATGCATGGAAAAAAAAGGTAATCCAATTTGAACTGAATTGCGTCGAGAAACTCGGAATAACCGCCCGGGCATGAACATGGGTTAAAGTAAGGGGCCAGGCTCATGCATGAGTACTAGCACAGACAATATGACGAATCCATGCAGCCCGGAGTTGCGCTATATAAGTTCCACGTTTCTAGTGGGGACCAAGAATGCTGCAGCATACTGCAGGGGTTTAAGAAGTAATAACCGGCCACCGAATGGGATATTGAAGAGGTGCTCGATGTTGAGGAATTTCTTACGACTTTCTGCCGAATAAAAGTTGACTCTTAGGAGGAGCCTAGCACAGTGTTGCTCTAGTTAAGCTGCAGCTGAGATATGAGCCGTTATCTTACGAAGTTAACGCCCCCTTCGTTTGGCTAGTCCATAGATCCTTAACACAGCCGTGTGCAGCATTATAGTTGGTGTCTGTACAGAGACGGGTTAAGGGTATATTCCGGTGACCAAAGGCTGATGAGAGTGATGGCGAATGTTAGGCAGTGGTTAACCATAGCTTTGACCAACACCTATCTTTTCCCCCTTTAACCCTTGACACACCTAGCTCCCTAGGCCAATTCCATACTCGCCGCATATTGTAGGCTAAGTCTAGACAAATATCGGTTCAAGAGATCGAGTACATGCTCGGGGTCGGAGACCACTACTACTAGCTTGTCATTCCGGGCCAGTTCATTACCATCCAATCGTCTAGAGTCGCCCCCCTTTCCAATGAATTTACATCAAAGGAAAAACTTTGCTGGTCAGGAGGCGTGAAGCTTCCGAGAAGCCCTGGCATCACGAATTTGTCCGCTAGTAATATATTTTGTTAGTTAACCATAGGGGAAAGCCATATAACCTTCATATACACAACTTACGTTCATAGAAGCCCATACCCATACTATCCGGTAACATCTCCCGTTCGTCGAGAGCCATTCCCACTTCGCTACTAGCCATAGTCGAAGCGGCTGGATTAGCCGAAGACCCCATTCCCTGAGAAAATCCATTTGTTTCCTCTCCGTGAGCTCGACGTTCCCCCACTCTTGCCAAAACTATACTCACGGTCTCAGCGGCCTTTTTAGCTTCCTGGGACTGAGAACTACGTCTCATCCAAATGGCTCTCGTCGTACGTAGTGCAGCAGTGATATCCTCCTCTCTATCCAAATATTTCCCGCGATGCAGTAACGAACATAGTATCATAGTCCCTATTAAAAACTGATGATTCATCATGGAAGACACGCGCCACCGCATAGAATAGAGCTGGCCTCCCTGGCAGGTCTCCTCGTCGAGAACATGCTGTATATTTAGTGTTCCCAGTGAGGCATCTATACAGGCGTTTCGTGAATAAGCAAACTTATCCTCCTCTCCGGGCGGTGATTCCATATATAGAAATCTGCGGTGAAGCATTATTTGCCCTTTGTAAAACATGTGACCGATAAACAAACGTGCCATAATCACCTGGGCAGAGTCAGTAACGCTAGATGCCATAGGCTTCATCTTCAGTGGCGGAGGGATGCTGGCCGCAGCATCATGTAAAATTCCGTCAGCTCGCATAATCTCTGGATATCTAGACGGTTTAACTGCATCAGTAACGTCCGATATTGTGCCTAAGGCCATTAACATTCTTCGTCGGGCAATAATGCCTAATGCTGTTGTGTGTTCGGTCTCCGGTCTCGCTGGTGGAAGTTCAGTGGTATTCTCATCTATGTCATTATCGTTCAAATTTCGCGGCTCAGCTGTATCACACTTCCAATCTGCAATCATTCGCGCCATACCCATTTGGCTTGAAACAAGAATGTCACTCATGAGAACTGTTGCCCACACTCTGCGTCGCATCTCACCCTGTAGCGGAGATATGCCAGGAAAATGACTGGGATCACGATGGTAGCCCATTCGCATTGCCAGATTGACTTGGATGGCAAGTAGGAACCAATTATCCTTGCCGGCGTCCGTACGGACAATATACTCCACATACACGTACTGGATCATTGTCTCCAGAACGTACGGCCCGGAGTTTGTGTATTCTCCCATTATGAGGCATTGGACGATTTTTTCACGATATAAGTCAGCCTGGAGGGCTTGCTGCTCTGTGTCATTGTTGCTATAGGAAGCATATGGCAGGTCCGAGGCGAGTAGCGCAAGACAAATCATGCCAAATAACAGTCCAACCCAGACAATCGGGGCACCAGATGGATTGTTCCAAAAAGCTTCATACTATGCGCATGGATTAGCTTGAAAAAGAGAGTGCAGATGCAATAAGGAGGATGGAATCTACCTGGTTCAGAAAGCTGGGGCCGTGGACGACAGCTATGTTATCAATTTCAGTTAGTACTTTAATTTAATGCCGGTTACTTCATGTGCGCTTACAAGATGCCACGAGATCCAAGCAGTTGAAGTAGCGAGAAATATAACGGTCCACAGCACTCTTTGGGGGTAGAGCAGCAAGAATTTCAGATCGCGAAGCTGGACGGCGGCATCCATACAAAAGGAGTGCGTGAGGAAACCTAGGCTTACTTGCTGGGTCACTGTTATTACCATCCAGTTCTTCAGGGCTATTAGCAAGTCTGAGCTGTTCTTCCCGATCAAAATGGTCCTTTAAATCAGCGATATTTTCCAGGATGGCTGCCCAATGGTCCCCTCCGACATAGCGAAGTTCCGATGCAGTTACTCGCATGCTTCCACATTCAGAACGTCCGTCTACTGGAGCATCACCTTGGGTATTGGTATTATTCCCAGTCCCAGCCCCAGCCCCAGAGCCAGGTACAGGCCCATGTCCATTTTCTGACCCCGCGCGTGGCGTTACTTCAGCAGCTGAGGTATTAGTAACGCCATAGTTGGCTCTTTGAGCAGGGTCAGACATTAATGACATAACAAGACGTTCTAATTGAACCAGGCGGTCGTGAACTGCGTGTGGAGCTGACGGAGCTGTTGTTCCTAGTGGTACCGACGGCTTTGTTAGCGTAGGATGATTTTCTACGTAGACACAGGTTTGCCCTCGAGCCAAACACGTTGAGCATGGCTGCTGGCGGTCACATCGCGATCTACAAATCGGTAGCTAGCATTAATATCTAAATCCATACACATCAAAGAAGCCAGATCAGGTGTTAATCACACTTACTTGCGGCGACGGCAGAGGTTACAAGAAAGCTGGGGTTTGTCCCTGCGCCGACTGGGCTTTGGACGAGGCCTCGAGGTATTATCGGGATCAATATCCTGATACTCAGCATTGGGCGATGTGGTCATGGTAGGCCCACCATTAACTGGTGATTCAGGCATGATAGAGCCAGGTGTGATGGGAGAGCCAACTTCGGTAACAGGCGCCATCATAAACTCACGAGTTAGTCGATATAGAATAAAACAGGTCTCTCGGTTGAATAAATGGCGCCGTCTGAGGGATAATAATAGCGCCCTAGACAATGTACCGCTCCTGGTGTAAAGGGGGGTTCTCAAAACACTGAAAAGGTGCAAGGCTGCTCACCTTATTTATTCCTGGTGCGGCTGTGATGACCGTTACATCAGTGTCATTCTGGAAAAGGTTAATATCCTGCAGGTTGATGCTAGGATATAAGCCCAATCAAACATCCAAACGCGCCAGAGATAATTATTCTTCATTGTTATATTGTTTCTGTGATACTCAAAAAGTGTACTTGGTGTTGCTTTCTTTGACGTTGGCATTTGAAGCTTTTCCGACATTGGAGATCCACGTGATAACGTAGCGATATAATGGTGTCAGGTGACTATTTTCACACACCAACGAGGCTATAACTAGGGAGGCTGGATAATAAGTGAGTTAACCAGTCGAAGCATTTGTCGTGTCGGCTTCTCCCGGAAATTCGTCAGATAGGGTACCTACGTCTCTCCTGATACCACTCTGCTATCTTTAAGTCAAAAGGCACACAGATTTCAACCCCGCCTGGTTTCTTTTTTTGACATCCGTCTCTTCATGGGCAACTCGTGTTAAGTAGTTACATAACCAGTTAGCGCATCCCGGCAGTGTCTATAAACCGTTCGATGCAGCGATCCCTGCTGTCTAAGTATGTATACACTTATACATATACATAATGCCGTCTCGAAGCCATCCGGGCAGCCCGGCGAGGGAAAAGACAAAAACGAAATGCAAAAGCTGGCGAACACGAGCTGAACTTGAACCTTTTTGGGAACGAGAAATAAAGCTTGTCTTGCCTAGCCTTGGCGTGCGTTAAAAAGCTTAACTTAGTTAAACGACAAGCGGATCATCCGACCATCCGACCATCCGATGCTCCTATCTTGACCCTCCGACCGTCCGTGGCTCCACTCTTTGGCGCGGCTTTTCCCATGTGTTTTGAGGCTCAACAGGGCAACGTTGGGAGGGAGCACGGATTTAGGCGCCATGCAGCCATATCTCCGTCGTCCTTGCGCGCTCTGTACGGCTAGAAAGCGCTCTTAAACGTCTACTTAAGCACCCTCGCTCTGTATTTGCTTACGATGGATGCTCTCTCTCTTGCATCACAGCCATTGCTCGCCTATCATCTACTTCCAACCTCCAATCTCCTTCCTTTCTAGATACTGCGGCTTTTTTCTCCCCAAGCTAGAGAAATCAAGATATCACTGTCTCAGCCGCACTGGACGCCATGTCAACGGCCGATTCCAGTACGGACACAGTTCCGATCGAGGCGGGCCCGGTTCAAGAGACCAAGGTCGCAGACCCTGAAATCGTTGATTGGGATGGACCGGAGGACCCTGAGAATCCTCATAACTGGCCAAGCCGTAAGCGGTGGGCGCACGTTGTCGTGATCGCAATCATCTGCTTAGTTATGTATGTACTCTGCCCCGGCATCCGTGGCAGTGCGAGGGGCCCTCGTATATTTCCTAACCAATGCTGACACGGTATGCGCCTGCCTGAACAGGAATATTGCGCCAACCATGTGTGCTCCAAGCATCAATCTGCTTGTTTCTGAGTTTAATATCCGGTCATTCGTGGTGAGCACGTTTGCAGTGACGCTCTACCTTCTTGGCCTCTCAGTCGGACCAATGTTTATATCCCCCTTGAGTGAGGTGTACGGCCGCTTGCCCGTCTACCATATATCCAACGTCGTTTTTGTCGGGTTTGTCATTGGCAATGCCCTGAGCAAGAATATTGGCCAGTTTCTCGCTTTTCGTTTCCTATCTGGCTGTGCGGGAGGCACCCCCATGGCCCTCGGTGGGGGCAGCATAGCGGATGTCACTCCCATCCAGCGCAGAGCAATTGCCATGGCGTTGTTCAGTCTTGGGCCCCTCACTGGACCAGTAAGCCGCCGTTCCGCCCATCCTCCCAAGCCACCAAAAAAAGCAAATACTAACTACTGGTCCCGTGCGACTTGTCTAGGTTCTGGGGCCTGTTATCGGTGGCTTTATTGCCGCTGGCAAAGGCTGGCGCTGGATATTTTGGATCCTGGCGATCATCGGTGCTGCCGCCACGATTACTGGATTCGTCATTCTACGTGAGACACATCCCGGGATCATTCTCGAACGCAAGGCCGCCCGTCTTCGTGATTCTACAGGCAACCCACACCTTCGATCAAAGCTTGCCCGTTCCCAGACACCACGCCAGCTCCTTGCAGCTGCTCTTATTCGGCCCACTAGACTTTTGATTCGCTCGCCAATTTTACTGATTATCTCCCTCTATGTGGCTCTTGTCTTTGGTCTCATGTACCTGCTCTTTACCACCTTCACAGACGTATTCGAAGGCGAGTATGGCTTCACAACTTCTACCTCCGGCCTAGTATACCTTGGGCTTGGAGTCGCCCTAGTTATATGCATGCTTCTCTTTGGCGCTCTCAACGAGCGCGTGCAAGCTGCATGCCTGAGAGCAGACGGGGCTACCCAGCCCCGGCCTGAGTACCGCCTAGTACTTATGATTTTCTTTAGCCCTTTGGTTGGATTCGGCCTGTTCATCTACGGCTGGACAGTACAGTATAGAGTTCACTGGATTGTCCCCATCATCGGCACTATGGTGATGGGATTTGGAGCCTTCTTCGTCCTCGTGAGTTTGGCCTATATAACTAATAACCCAGTCCTTCCAGCGGTTTTATCAGCTCTAACAAAAGTCTACTAGATGCCTGCCCAACTATATCTCGTCGACTTATTTGGCTCTGAGGCTGCCGCTTCAGCTCTAGGAGCGAACAACCTTATGCGTTATTTGTCAAGTACGTTCTTGCCACTTGCCGGGCCTAAGATGTATAACACTTTGCACTACGGCTGGGGTAACACGCTACTTGGCTTCCTTGCCCTTGCTTTCGTCCCGGCTCCGATCTTTTTCTACAAATATGGCGAATGGCTCCGTTCTAGGAACGTTGTTAAACTGTAAGCAATAGTGCCTAAAACTTTAGTTAGTTACTGGAGACTGTCACTCGCGGGCGTAGGCAACTAGAATGGCGTTATTATAGGTTAATTTCAGTGGGTTTTTCGTTAACTACCAATAGTGAAACAAGTTACACACAACTACATCATTGCACCTGCTTTTTCTGCAGCTTCTCTAGCAGTTCGTTAGTTGGTTAGCATGCGCAAGAGAGTGCAGCGGCACAGTTAGATAGGCGTATCCAATTTTAGATTGAGGAGATACCGCATTAGCCTGTACAATGGCTATCACTCGGCTCCTACCACGCTGTGATACCCGAATAGCCATGTGCCTGGAGTACGCACACTCCTAGAGGAACTCACGGGAAGTTTTCATACCATTAATTAATAATTAACTACGTAATTGATTATTTAGCTGCCCAGACCTTTCTCGACATCTCCCTGCATAATTTCACGAGGCGGATATACGGAGTGTGGTGTTAACTCCACCGGACATAGTTATACAGGGCGGCCAGCATATACGCCATGACTTGCTCCGCCAGCTAGGGGCCGGAATGCCACGCAGCGCCATGCATCTCAGGTATAGGAGTGGAGAAGGGCCATCACCTGGAGCCGCTCGCTCCGGTCCTGCTAGGGATCGCTCCAGGAGAGCGTGTGGTGCCGGACGGTCATAGGCTAGCAGATCCTTCAGGAGCGAGACCATTTCCGCATATAGAGATCTCTACGCAGAACCATGACATGCTTGGGCCCAGACACGAGGAAGCCCTGCAATGTAACAACCACCAAGATCCCAAGCCTTGTCCACTGTAGCCTAGTAAAACATCAGTCTCGCTTCCTGTGCATCTAGCTGAAGGCTAAGGTATGAGGGTTGCAAGTGCTTGTGTGCATGGAATCATACTCGATTGGCCATGCTCTGTTCTTCTTCCCTGCCCCTATTAATAGGCCTAGAGCTTACTTAGTAGTTCACTGTAAGCTTTTTTGCTTTCCTTCCAGTCTAAGGAGAAAGACTCCAGCTCTTTCTAGGCTGCGGGATGCGATGCAGCTTTGGCTGGTTATATCAATCTGGCTTCTCCCGCTGCTCAGGTGGTTGGAATTGTGCACGGCATCCCCCGAGAACAAGTTCCAACTTTTCACAAGCCATAACTACTTAACTAGTTACACACCTTCCACAGCCAGAGCTCTGTATACAAGAGCATCACAACCTGTTGTCGACCGGTCGTTGAATAACGGAGCCTCAAAGCCATTGCGTCGCGAGAAAGAAAAAGAAAGAACGATTCTCCGTATTCAACGAACTAGTTAAATATCTTCTTGTCATCGGGCTAGTTAAGCATTTCTATACCGAGCCGCAGCGTTGATCAACCTCTGGGAAGCCCCTGTTCCACCATGAGCAGCACTAACATCACGCCGCCACTGCGTGCATCTTGCGATCGGTGTCGGGCCCAGAAGCTGCGGTGCGTACCATCATCGACTTCAGACGCCACAGCGCCGTGCCAGCGATGCTTGAGAGCGAAGTCGCCAAAGTCATGCATATTTAGCCAGCGCCTGCGGACGGGACGGTCCGTGAAGACTGGGGCCGTAGATTCACGCCAGGGAGCCACACGCAGAGAGAAAGAAAAGTCGCCTGGGCTGCCAGGGATGAGTGCCTTTGCGCTATCCACGCCGCCGCCTTCAGAATGCGCAGCCGTCGGGAAACAGAAAAAGACAAATCAGGCGCATCGTACGCTCTCAAAGCCGTCTCGCAGCAAGGGGCAGCCGAACGGAATGGACCATGGGTGTGGGGGCGTTATATTGCCGCCGGCCACCACAGCAAAGGAGCCCCTGGATACGCCGGTAGAGCTCTGGGATCACGTCGGCAGCAACAATTCAATAATGCAGCCTGCTGATTTCATCTTTGACGCAGATGAGTTCACCGGCTCGCCGGAAATGATATCAGACTATAACTTTGACGCCAATGCGTATCTAGACGTTCAGGATTTCATGCCCCCCTTGCCGTACCCTACACCTGCCGGCCTGGAGATGGAAATGGATATGCTGATGGCCGAGAAGCCAGGCCCTCTAGTCGACCTAACAACATTGCTAGCGAAGATGTCACATTATGAGGGCCAGCTGTCGAAGTTACCGGGTGGTGATCTAGACAACTATCCCATTGGCGACGCGCTCTTCCTTTCCCAGCGCTTTTTCACAGTGCTATCCGAACATGACCAAGACTCGGTTAATTTGATAGGAACCACTTCGCATCTTGATATGCCTACAAAACTGCTCACCTTATCCTGCTATATGACCTTAACTCGCATATTTATATCCGTATTTGGATACCTCCACGAGCGGCTCTGCCAGCTTCCAGAAGCAAATTTCCAGCATGACGGAATGGGGCATTCAAGCCCATCCTTGACAGATATGCATGCCTACCGCGGTCTTCGTCTAGGTCAGATTCAACCGATTTGTGCATGTGCTGGAAGGGAGTCCGCTACTCGGGTGAAGAAAGCAGTATCAATGTTGCTAGCGTCTCTGGGCGGTGCTGAAGGGGTATTGGGTCTGCCACCAGACGTGAGAGTGATCCCCGATGTGCGCGCAGATACCCATACAGGCCGAGGAATATCTACATCACCGGAGCAAGGTGACGAGATGATGGTGCTTGAAGATGGCTTGCTTGTTGAGCTGACGAATAGCCGCCTGCACAAGGTAGTCGGAGAACAGGCGAGGGAGCTGCGAGAGAAAGTAGACGAAGTGTACGACGTTTTAAAAGGGTTATTGGAGCTATAAGTAGCGAAACCTGGGTCAGTGAACCGCTTGTGAGACGATGATAGATGGTGCTCTTTCGATGGGCACTCACATTTGATTAATGATAGCTTCTTCATGATTGTATACGACCGTATACATATACATATACATACATACACAGTGGGTGGAATATATGCTTATGCAGGATTTATCGTTTGATCAACTGTAGAAGAAACCGAAGCCAGTGGTAACCAAAGGAGCTCAAGCTCTCAAGCCCATACATATTAGCAACTAGTATGTAGAATCAGCCTGGGTAACGGCGTATACATCAAAGAACTAAGCTAGGGGCGTTGCTCCATTCATCCATTGTCAAATGGGCATTTCAGAGTAGGCTCCTCGGCCTAACATGTCGAACATTCAGTAAGAAACCACAGCATCTCAGATGATACATATTGCATGGTGTGCTGCGACAGGTCGTACGATTTCGGGGGGAAGACCGGTAAGTCGGAATTTCTATTGGATATTTCAATTAATTTGGTTGTTCTCCGACTCCGGATTCGGATTCGTAACAGCTCAAATGGGAAATCTTCTGCCGATGCTTCTAGATGTAAATAGGCGACCAAGAACCAACAAGAAAATGAGGGAAGAAAACAGTTAAGAAACAAGTGAAGATTGTGTATGGAATAATTAGTCGTCTCTAGTCGTCACCGTTGAATTTACTTAACGTGATATATACAAAAATGCCACCTCAATCTGTGGTAATTGTATGTATGATCTTTTTCAAAGCTATGTATTGTGACCTGCTAATGGGTAATAATTTACACAGGTTGGGGGTTCTGTTGCAGGACTGCTACAGGGACTGCAGCTCAAACGCAGCGGTAGCAATGTCATCGTGCTCGAGCAAGACCCTTCCAAGGACCGCCACAGCCATGAATCCGGGGTATCGATTGGACGAACTGTGGTACACTTGTTGGATAAATATGACGCCACAGGGCGACCAGCTGCAATTCCAGCAAAGTATTTAAGTGCTGCATGGCACAAATGGCTCAGGGTGGTGAATACCCATTGGGCACACAGTATGAGCAACTGGGGGTGTCTGTACCTAATCCTGCGAGCGAACTTCGACGGTTTGAAATCCGAGACAGTCCCAAACCCTCCACAGCCACGAAAGGGGGATGGCAAGGTTGAGTATTGGCCTGGAAAGCGCGCTACTGGACTAAAGTATGACCGGGATGCAGGTAAGGTGCACCTCCAGTATGTGGACGTGACAACCGGTGAGGAGGGAACTGTTAGTGCAGACACCATCATTGCAGCAGACGGCGTGCACTCCACGATAAGGAAAATACTGCAGGTGCCGACGCGCAAGGAGTATGCAGGGTATATTGGTTGGCGTGGCACAGTTCCAGAGAGATTGCTGTCGGAGCAGACGGTTGAATACTTTTCCAATCGACTCAACTTCACAGTCATGAATGGCACTTACTTTATAAGGCGAGTTATACCTTTCAAACGCTCCTGGATGCTTGCTGATTTGGTTTAGTTATTTCATCCCAACGGAGACCGGGCATGTCGAACCTGGCAAGAGACTCATCAATTGGGTGTGGTACTATGTTCTCCCCGACGGGTCGCCCGAGATGGATACCATCTTCACCGATATCAATGGCAAGGTACACCCCAACACGGTCCCCCAAGGGCTCGTCAACCCTGGAGTTTGGGCGTCTCAGGTAGCACGATACCTTCCGCAAATGACGGCCCCGCTTGCTGAAGTGGTCAGCAAGACGCCTAGGCCGTTTGTAACGAAGGTGGGAGAAGCACAATGCTTTGCGCCCAGTTTCTACGATGGACGGGTCGTTCTCGTAGGCGATGCATTCACAGGCTTCAGGTCACATCTGGGAATGGCATCGGAACAGGCTGCTCGCCATGCCGTGCAAATGGATAAAGTCTGGCGGGGGGAGATGACCATGAAACAACGCGATCGGGAGGCAATTCTATACGCGAAGCGTTTCATTTTGTTGAATAGGATGGTTGGGTGGACTGGACTCGGGTGGGTATTTTCCCTTTTCACCGCTATGGCGAGTTACGCGTGGCTGGCAGTTGAGCAGGTGCTGGGTATTGCGTAGGTGATGACCGTGTCTCCGAATAAGTTGCCTACCAGTTCACTACTGTACGGAGTAACAATCCGCTTATGGCCATGTGAGCGTGTTTCCACTATGTACTCCGGAGTAGCCAGATGTACTTGAACAAAAGCGGATACAAGTCGAGCATGAGGGGATATTTCGAGGATATTCTGTACCTGCCAAGGTCTGCGGTATCCTAAAGTTGATGCGTCACATTCAGTTACATAAAGACTTTTGACGGGCCTGGCGGAGTAGGGGACTTGGCCTGTATCTCATGGTCCGATCTCTAGCCAAATAAAATCATGATAACACGTTGGCCTCGTCCCAAATGCCAGCAAAAATCGCCGTGTTTACTCCGTACCTTCAAGGGGGAAAAAGGGTCTGGGCGTGAGGTTTAAAAGTTTAAATTTTAAGCTTCAATGAAATAAGAATGGCTGGAACACGCTAAACCTAAAGAGCGCAGAAGATAGAATCACGTGCTGATTATTCATCAATGCATTCCCAGCCACCAAGAAAAAACATCCAAAAGTCCGCGATGATAGGAAAAGCATCGTTTTGTTTCGTCTGAATGGTTGCATAAACGGGGAGGCTGGGGAGGTGGCAGGGGAAGCAGCCTCATGGAGCTTCTCATATATTGCCGTTGTGGTTGTACATCTGCTCTTCTCTTCATTCCTTCTTTCTTCTCTCAACACGTCAACTCCAACCTGCCCATTGTGTACTTCGAGGCCATAGTACACCTGGTGAGTACTCCATGTTTTGCTCCAATGGTATGACCTTGAGTATTCTAACCGTCTAATAGATATATAATAATACATTTTGTCTGTTGTTTTATATCTCTACATCTTTGAGCGCCTCCGCCTTGTATCCATATATACCAACCAACACACGGTTTCATAAACAACTCGTTATCCATACCGCAAATCGAAACCAAAGAGAGGAAAAATAGCTGCTTAGTCGACCTCATTGAATTCATTGCTCGACGGACGCAAAAATGGTTCAACGAAACGTCACCATTGCGATTATCCTCATTGTGCTATTTATCCTCCTTGCTGCAGTTGGGATTGTAATCTTCTATATCAACAGCCGCTTGGGCTGGTTCGCACGGGCAAGAGAAGTGGACGAAGAACAATAACACCGGCTACTCCTCACAAACGAGAAAGATGAAGGCATAGCTCGATAGAGCTACGATATTGAATGTGGAGGAACATATCATATATCATGTTGATGCATTTATGGGATCACGACTCTCTCATGCATGAATACAATTCCAGGCGTTGAACACAGGGAGGCTCTTTTGTATTGAGATTTCATCGGTCTAGAGTGGGGCGTTTTGTTATATGGGAGTTGATTCAAGGCATATCAGCTTTATGTGTTTTCATTTGGTTGATCTAATAATGAATATAAGCAAAGCCTGTCAAACGACAGGAATTTCATGAATTGTCCAGCATGTGGGTTTTTACTTCTTCTCACATTAATTATATACATCAACGTCTTTTTTAGATATCAAAATTGGAAAGAAAATGACACAAATCGGCCGTCTCTAATACATGTTTCTCTGATCCAAAACCTCTACCGTTTACAATATATCAGCTGGTTCTGTGTAAAATGGCGGGAAATGCGTACTAATGCATCTCTCGCGAGTCTGGTTCTTTAGGGGTATACTGTGTCTGTGTTTTAGGGGAAGCCTCGATCCTATCGGAGGCGCTACCATCCGTGGGGCCAGAGGCGTTTGATAGTCGGTGTGAAGGAGCTACAACTTCACCAGCCTGGCTACCTGATTGTCTCGCAGCGTTTGCCGATGCCGGGGGAGTAGATGGAGTTCCAGAACCGACTGGGAACATGGGTCCGCGTGGGAGGGTCGGTGACAAAACCGAGTTAGATCGGCTTTGTGGGGTAGAGTATGGCTCATGGGCTGGCGGATGGTTCCAGGAATATCTGGGCGACGAGCTGCCTGGGCTGGAAAACCTAGTTTGGGGCTGATCCTCATGCGGCCGTGGGCGTTTGGGCGCACGGAAATGTTCAGCCGGTTCGTTGGGCTCCCTCTCTTCGTGACGGGGGGATTGCCTTATTGGAGACGGATGGGCGTGCCGTTGATAAGGTGGCTGAGGTTTTGGTGACGTTGGGACTGGCGGTGGGAGCTGGTTGCTTCTCTGCAATGGGGAGGCAACCCGTGTGGAATAAGGCTGACGTGGAATACTAGGCAGGGTTGATACTTCGGTGTTGGTATTATCCAGACCACCCACGCCGCTTCGACCCATAGATCTATCGTGCATTACAACACGCTGCCATTTAGCTACAAGGTTATCGTAGTCCCATTTCGACGACTCGGGCGAGTGTATGCGGCTCTCATGCCTGTCAAGTTCCCTGGCAATATCAGGGGATATGGGCAGTAGGTTCGGCGGGAATATAGCGAACTCTCTTGGCCATTGGCAAGACGCAAGCTTCTCGACCTGTGCACGCAATTGGTTGGCTTCCTGCTGTGTGCGGTGCAGCTGAGCCTCAATCTTCTTCCGTTTCTCGGCTTCTCGCGCAAAAGCCCGTACTATTTCAAGATGCCACAACTCCCGTTGAGCCGCTGAAGAAAGCTCCATCCAGTTCTGCAAGGATAGCTCGAGATGTCGTGGAATAATCTCCTCGTGCTGATAGGCTACCTTCTCAATCATGCTTGCATCTTGGCTTGGCTGGCTTTGGTGTGACGACGTAGAGGACGATGTAGTGTTAGCCGCAGCAAGTTGGTCGTACTTCCATTGGTGGACCTGGGCGCGCAACGCCTGCTGTACAATTTCCCGCTGGTTCACACTCGGAGGTTCTATGGGGAAGGAAGTGGGCGATGGGAATGGGTGGGTGGAGAAGAGGCTCGGTGGGGGTGGTAATGCCTGGAGGCAGAGAGCAGGAAATGTTTGCGACTGGAGATCAAAGTCGAATGGAGAGAGCGATGGAGTATGGTTGCTACTGTGAACCCCACTCAGAAACGAGTCCAACTAGATGTAAAACGTAGAGAGAGAGCCATTGAGTGTAATGAACTTACGCGGCTGCTTTGACACTATCCAGAACCTCCCTGAGCGCGAGCTCCAATGCCCGTGTGGTCTCCGTCGAGTTCGAGCTGGTCAGTCGATTTGACCTCTCCAGCGAGGTAGAGGGGATCCTCAATTGCGAAACAGGAGAGGAATTGGGGATGTCGTTGATGACGCCAGTAGCATGCCATGTTGGCTGGTTGATTAAGAGGCGATATCCCTTGCTGCCCGGGCCACTTGAGTTGAGCTGCAATGGAGCGACAGAGTGCGGATCTGGGCCTGTGGCAGCAGAAGCAGCACCGATGGTGACCGCAGACGCAGACGCAGGTCCTGAAGCAGACGAGACCTCCGGGCTGTTCTGCTTTGTCCCACCGCGCGCCGTCCGCCGGGTGATACTACTGCGAAGCTGTCTGATTTCTTCCACATTGTGCACCCCGTCCGGCTTCTTTTTGTAGAGGTACTGGTCCAGGTGGCGGCCGAGGGAGGACGAAGTAAAGGTCTGGTTGCAGTACGGACACTGCTTGTTCTTGACGGCCAGGACTTTGGGTGCCGCAGAGGCTTCTCGCTCGTCCTTGGAGGCATTGAGCTCCTTCGCCTCCTCCGCGCGGGCGGGAGACGTCTCTTCCATAGTTCTAAACCGTCTGGCTCATCGAGGTAAGGCGAACAGACAGCTAACTAAGAGAAGGGGGAAGGGGGAAAAAAATTGGCGGACGGGAAGCGACAGTCGATGGTGGACGACGATGAAAAAAGTGAAAGCTGGCGCAACTTTCTCGGCAATTCGGGTGAATAAGAGAGCTCGCACCTAACGCACAATTGTTAGCTACATATCCTTCAGACTCTTCAGGGCTTGCTCGATGCCTCATCTGCCTGTAGAGGCGATGTGAGATTGCTTACCTGCCAGCAACAAGCCGCGCGACAGGTTTTGCCGTGGGCGCATGCAAGGCTATCGCATGCGTATATAACAACCCGATTTATCACCACCAGAAAAAAGCAAGCAAGCAAGCTAGCAGAGTCGAATAAAAAGGCTGGAAAAGCATAAAAAAACATAAAACCCGCCTTGGTCTGGTCTAATTCAAGTCCAGTGTGTGAAAGGGAAACTTGTCCGTTGATGTCGCTGTTGAGTCGAGTTTGCTGCCTACCAAATGGCCAGGCAGGGGTGCGAAGCGCCGGCGGTAAAAGACCGACTGATGACTTTGGGGCAGAGACAGCACGCCAGCTGCGCAAGAGGAACCGATTTCTTACTATCGAGGCCCAAAAATTATGAAGAGGACCAAAAAAATACAGTGCCAAAAGAATTATATGGATTAGCAATAGTGACAAAGGTAAGAAGAAAAAATAAATATACAGAGAAGGGAAAAGTGATGGATGCTTGCTTCTGCGGTCGTTTGATAAGAAGCAAATAAGCGTATATATGCAAGTACTCCAGTACTCCAGGCCAACATGAAATAAAAGAACCTGTTGCGCTTCTTTCTTTGCTTCTTCCCCTTCGCTCGCCGAGCAGGTCAACAAATCGGAATCGCATGGAAGGGATCCCGCGGGTGAGACCGTCGTTAAGTAAGGCCTGCCAGACACGATGCAGAGAAGAAGCAAAGAGCGGCAGCGAGCAGAGCGCAGACGCTGTAGTTTCTAGTGCTGCTGGGTGGGCGGAGGAGAGCCTGGGAGAAACAGGGCTGTCGGAGTCGACCGTTTGGCCACGATGAACTCCATAACTGGATGTGATAGAGCAAGTCCATAGTGCGTTCTAAGCAGAACTGACGGGTCCGGGAGTGTGATGCCGGGGGGATCCCGGTCAAGGAACGGCGATGCGATGCGATGCGCTGCGCTGCAGTGGGTGCCTGTGGGCAAGAGTGCATGCAGACGGCCGGGCATATCTCTTCCCTTCTCTTCCCTTCCCGCGAGTACATACATATATGTCCATCCGTACATGCATCCGGACAGACAGGCCTCCCGTTTGGTGTACATCGATGCATCTCCACCAGTGGAAGGGCTCTCTCTCCCGCGCCGCTCAAACACCGTCATACACTGTGCTTGCGGGTAGGCTTTTTTTAGGGGCTGGGCATGCATGGGAAACGATGCATATCAACCGAGTTCGTGCCTGAGCGCGTCGCGATCTTCTCTCACTTTCGAACTCACATCGTCACGGCTGGCTCGCTGGCGCTGCTGGCTGGCGATACATGGTGGCGGCGCTCTGCTCGGGATGTCCCGTCATCTCCCTGAGTCTTATCTGTCTATTCCGTACTTTGTATCTCCCCATGTGTCTGCCGCCTGTTGTAGAAAAGGAGGAGGAGAGGAGAAGAAGAAATGAACCATCATAATAATGAGACGTGTTGCGCGCAGTTAGAGCGCCATTCGACCGGGGATACTATGTTTAATAGCGTGGTGGAAAGGGGCGTCCCGACTTTTGTGACTGACGAGCGAGGACAGGGGGGAGCGAACCAGATGGGGACCTGGCTCATTGTTGTCGGCGTCCCCGTTCAGTTCGATCGTGGGGTTTTCATCTCCCTTGCTTTCTTTCTTCCTTTTCTTCGCGGTTTTGCTGCTTTGTTAGTTATTGTTTCTTTTCTTTTTCACCTTCCGTGGGTCTGATTCCAGCCATTGAAGGCCATGGGAGGTCCGATCTCAAGGGGGCAGATATGCACATATGCCCGAGTTTCGATGCGCCGGATGCCCTGACCAGGAGCTTGTGACGGGTTACACGAGGAGTACATAGCGCTGTACGAGGAACAGACTGGCTCTCCCTGTGTGTGAATATCGCCTCCATCGTGGCTATCATTGGCACAGATTTCTCGATTCACGCAGTGAGTCTTGCTTTGTTGCACCGGCTAGGGCTGGGGTTAAAACGGTTGCTGGGCTTGTACCTGTTGACCAGATTTGGATGGTAGATTTATACGAACTGTACAAAGTGCTTTTGATACCCCACGGAAACCCCCACTGTCTTGCTCTCCAGTATCGAGTGCAGTTTGAACAGATACCATCTGAGGTACGTCCAGTTTTACGGCTAGCGTGGTGGCATCGTAGTATTTCCAGGGAAAGATCCAGCAGAGAGGTCTGATACCTTACACAGCGGCCTGTAACGCCGATGCAGCAAGGATATCGGGGTTCACGCTCCTCCCAGCCATCAGGAATCACACCCCATGTGGGCGGCTGCCAGTCCGTCCTGTGACGTAACTAATGATTCGAATTCAGCCGATTGGGTTCGACGGCTTCATCTGTCTCACGTTTAAGTTGACTCGTTTGGCAGCCATCCAGCCCTTCCACTGCTGGAACTTGCTATCTCCCTCTTTGCTCGCATCTCCAGGCCAGTCTTGCAGCCAGCTGGGACAGGTATCCGGTAGGATTCTGGGAACACCATGCCAAGACACTCTGGATGCGCCGTCCATGTAGACTGCATCGCCTGAGCGGAGCCTGATGACGGCCAAGTCCGAATTATCAGCATGGCTGACCATGAAAAGCCCCTCACAGCCGAAACTGATGCTTATCAAACCAGTATCACATTCTTCGCTGACATCTCTGTGGATGTGTAGCGTGTCCCCCGGCGAGTAGACGTTAACGATTGCCGCCTCGGGCTGCGTGGCTGGAAAGATACCCCGAAGCAGATAGGATATGTCGGAGGGGAACGGTGGAGGAGGGCCGGCGGGATAACGCTTCTCAGTCCAGTCGTACTGGCCCCCAAGTGTCATCCATCGAAGCTTGCGATTCAGTATCGATTGAACGGTAAGCGGGGTGTGCACGGAGCTATCTTTGGGCGAGATGGAGCGGCTCAACGTATCCTCGAAAAAGGACGGCCTGTCACTGGCCTGCATGATACCGGGCAAACATGAGGCTGCGTTTGGGTAGGTGACGTTATAGTGCAGGTGGAGGTTGGTCTGGTGCCGCTGGTCGGACAGGTCACGGTGCAGTAACCGCGATAACAGCTCTACCTGTACCCCTGGCGGAAGCACCGAAGGGATAACCTCGAGGCCTACCCCATGTACACGTTAATCCTTGTCCCTCGACTGTGGAAGATCTTGTTTATAGCTGCAGACTGACCAGGTATGTCTCGATGTGTGTATACCGGAAGCGGCTCAGCCGCTGGCTGAGGAACACCTTGGACCACGCATCCTCCCATAAACTGGTCAAAAACAGTTTCCAGTGGCTCCGGAGCCAGCCATCTGTCTAATGATACGCCATCAGGTAGACTACTGCCGTCACCGTCTCGTCGCAGGTCGATGATCGCGGGGTGAGAGTCGATATCAGCGACCTTCAGCGCACGGAAGGCCTTGTACTGCTGCCGTAGCCTAGCTGAAGGGTGTTCGTGGGCATCTATACTCCTAATGGCTACCATCCCCGGTGCTGTCGCTGCATCGGTTCCTCTTCTTCCTTCTCTTATTCCCTTTCTTCTTCGTTCCTTTTATCTCGTCGTCTTCGGTTTTTGTGTCTTTGATATCGGGTTTTTTTCTTTTTTTTTTTTTTATTCTTCAAGACTTGATTATGTCATATCCCAATTACTAATTCCTGACCAAAATGACATGACTAATCAATTTTCAAAGTTTCTATTGGCTTAGAAGAAGTTCACTATCATTGGACAATTAATATGAAAATGCTCTTCTATTGGCTATAATTCGCGTCCCTTTTGTTTGTTTGTGTTTTGTTTTTTCTTGTTTCCCAAAATAAATAAAAAAGTAGAAAATCAACAAGAAACGAAGAAAAAAAACGTATCTCAACCGCTACAGAGGAAAGAAAAGAGACCACGGAAGAGCAGAAGGGAGAGCGCGAGAGGCAGAGACCAGACCATCAACAGGAACAGACCGGCCAGCGAGGCTGCACTATGGAATAAACGACGTTGTGCAGCGAGATCCAACTCCCCGCCGTGTCTCGAGATAGCTTGACCCTGCACGACGCACCCCAGCTCCAGTAGCGCCACAACCCCTCGACACCCTTCGAAAGACACACGAAACTCGCGTCGGTGACCTGGTTGCTGCCAGCCTGTAGCTGTGTGCGATCGAATAGGCAGAATACTATCTTGTCGACAGCAGAGACACAGGTCTCTAGCCGGTCTTCGTCTTGTGTCGGTCTGTTTGGCGGAGGGCAGACAGTGCAGCCAGGATGGAGAACTACCAGAAGATAGAGAAGATTGGAGAGGGTATGTCTGCTGCTGTATCGGGCACTGGAGCGACAGTTGACTGATCTACTTTTGTGTAGGGACATACGGTGTTGTTTACAAAGCTCGGGACCTGTCCAACCATGGCCGGATCGTCGCCTTGAAGAAGATTCGTCTCGAGGCTGAAGACGAAGGCGTTCCTAGCACAGCAATCAGAGAGATATCCTTGCTTAAGGAGATGCATGACCCAAACATTGTCCGGCTATTTAATATTGTCCACGCAGATGGACACAAGCTCTATCTCGTTTTCGAGTTTCTCGACTTGGACCTAAAGAAATACATGGAGGCTCTGCCGGTGAGCGAAGGTGGTCGCGGCAAAGCCCTGCCGGACGGGTCTCATGAGATGAGCAGGCTGGGTCTGGGAGAAGCCATGGTGAAGAAGTTCATGGCTCAGCTTGTGGAGGGCGTCCGGTACTGCCATACCCATCGCGTGCTGCATCGTGATCTCAAGCCCCAGAACTTGCTTATCGACCGGGAGGGCAACCTTAAAATTGCAGATTTTGGCCTTGCTAGGGCTTTCGGTGTGCCTTTGAGAACATATACACATGAGGTGAGTCTATAGCGGAGCGATCATCAGGAACCTATCAATGAGCTATATGCTAAGACGGGCACGATGTAGGTTGTCACCCTTTGGTACCGTGCCCCTGAAATTCTCCTAGGTGGTCGTCAGTATTCGACAGGTGTCGACATGTGGTCTATCGGTGCAATCTTCGCTGAGATGTGCACCCGCCGGCCCCTTTTCCCTGGTGACTCGGAAATTGACGAGATATTCAAGATCTTTAAGTACGCCATCACCCTTAACACACTCGCCTGTTGATTTTGCCGGATTTACTCAATTACTAACCCCCTATATAGACTACGCGGCACCCCTGATGAGCGAATCTGGCCGGGCGTGACATCCTTTCCTGACTTCAAAACCTCGTTCCCCAAGTGGAAACGGGAAGACATCCGCAAATTAGTGCCCGGCCTGGAAGAGAACGGTCTCGCGCTGCTAGATGCCATGCTCGAGTACGATCCCGCACGCCGCATATCGGCCAAGCAGGCGTGCATCCACCCATACTTCCAGGCTTGTAGCTCTGCTTACTCAAGTCGTGGCCGAACTCCAGTGTACCAATGATTTTACGAAGTGATACCTCTCAGCTCCCATTCATTTAGCTTGCCTTGCTAGTCTCTCTTTCATGCCCGATTTCCTACTACCTCCTTTGTCTACGTGTTTACGTCTAGAAGAAACTCAAGTGTCTTGCTGCCTTTCAATTTTTCATCCCGTCTTCCAACTTTCCCGCTATCTGGGAACACAGCTACTCGTGTCCCTGTTGTAGGAGTTACCTAGTATCATAGTCACTGTACCAGCTAGGACCTTCCCTCAGAATATTTGAACTCCGAACTCATGTCTAGTCCTCCATTTCTCCTCGCTCCTAACACTATGCTTCTATTTGCAAAGTACTTAAGCCTCTGGATCTCAGATGAAGTATCATTGCTGTAAATACGAATAATATATAGAACAAATAGCCCTCGGGATATTCAGGTGTTTAACTAGTTGGATGCTGTCTTGGCGAGCGAAGCTTGACTTGACGCTGAAAGTGAAGCCAGCACGCAAAGTGAAATCGAACGGTTAACTGCACAACCTGCGACTCAAACACACCATGGAGCGATGCGCCCATCACTCGTCTCCGCCTCTACTGCTCTTTCATTTAGCTACAAGTATACCTGTCTAGGCCGGCGAATCAGTCGCTGTCTCTCTAGTGCAGCTGCGCCGTTCCTTTACGAAACGGCTGTACAGGTTCCCGTTGGCAGCAATGGAAATGTCACCTTAACGTATGGTTATACTGCGCCTTTGCTGTCCATTCATAATACTGAGAATATTCTAGCTAACGCGTATACACAGTGTCCTATCTCCCAAGGAGAAACCCACGCCCAATGGCTCGAATCTCATCCTCTACCTCCCTCCGGGCCCGCTATTTGACCGATCACAACCCTCCACGGGCTATGGCTCTACGGGTACAGCGGGCACATCAAACAGTTCCAGCATAACAAAGCAGTGTGCGCCCACACTTTTACCAGAAGAGAATCTGGCGATAACTACCCTCTCTACTACTGTGGTGGTAAAATACCGTCTTGGAAGAATACAGGCGGCTGGAATCCGAAAGACTTACAGGTATCCTACGCCGGTACACGATACGTTAGCTGGACTGGACTGGGCAAGGAACGAGTTTCAGCCAGATAATGTCTTTGTTTTTGGGAAGCATATTGGTGGCTCTTTAGCGGTTATGCTGGCGCTGACTGAAGCTCGAGCACTCAAGGGCGTTGCTGCAGAGGAGCCGGTTTGTGATTGGGTTGGCTTGGATGATTACTGCATTACAGATATTGAAAACGCAGCACAAGATGCGGAGAAGCCAGGAACGGGACTGGAAAAAGAATCATCACGGAAACGCGGCCGAAAGAAAAAGGAACCCCTACCAACACCGGTAGACCTTGTTCCTCTGCTAGATGCAAGGCGCAGGCTCTTCCCAACTCCGGAGAAGTACTTTGATTCTTTTGCGTCGCCGACTCTTTTCCTCCGAACCTCTGGAAAATATATACCCTTGACATTTCCGGTGTATTTGACAGGACCAGAGTATCCCACGCCTGTGCTGAAACGGCAGCCCAGAACGGAAGCTGACGCGTTATACATGACGGACTTACTTGCGTCGTCACCATCTCCCAGCTCAACGGGTACGGATGGAAACGTAAAGTCGGCCGACAATGAATCGTCGCTCACTTCGCTGATTAAACCTGTACGTAAACGAAAAGTGTTATCACGCTGGCCGCCTTCAGGGCTAGATTATGGGCTGGAAGCCTATGAGGCGCGGCACAGGTGGCTGAAGCGGGAGGAGACGGTGCTCCCGGATGTCCGAATATTCGTCCACGACGAAGACCTGTATGCGGCGGAGGAGATGGAAAATCAGGACACAGCTACAGGCCTGGACGACAGCCAAAGCGAGGACGATATGAATGTTCAGATGGAACGTTTGAAGCTGGATGAATGTTCAGATGGGACTAGGAAGACAGCTCAGAATCCTCAATCCGAGCGCAAACCACGGTCATTCATTCGTTTCAGGGGATCGCTTCGAAGCATAAGACCAATAAATGGCAGCACAGTGCTAGCTCGCCAGGGAAAAGAGATGGTCTCACTAATGCATAATGCCTGTTTTTGGAAAAGAGAAAAGGGGACTGCTGAACGATGTGTAAAGCTGGTTCCAATCTTAGCTTCTGATGCAAGCCATATATCTAACTCTTCAGAGGGTGGCACTGCGGGTTACATCCCTGAGCCGCAAGATCCGGTTGAAGTACGGGCTGGCCATCGGTTTATGGAACTTATACAAGAGAATAAACGAAAGTAGCAGAGGAAAGTACTTCACGGCGAATACAATAAATGGAAAACTTGTGATTGGGTATCTAAATGCTATATATAATCTTTAGTGTATAATAAATTATATTGCTTCCCTGGAAATGCTGTAATTTCAAAACATGGAACTCCGTTTCTTCATGAGGGTATTTGGAGCAACTCCGCTCTCTTTCTTCCGGAAACCAAATATACTCCGTTTCTCCTTTAACTGTGGCTGCGGTTGTTGTTGAGGAGGTGGTCTCAACCCACCTGCTATAGACTGTGGCCTAGGTGCAGCAAACTGAACACGCGACTGTGGTGGTACTGGATGGTTTTGAGGTTGTCGGGGAGGCTGTGGTGGTCTAGGAGCAGGCTGGTGTTGCTGTTGTAGTTTCAATACCTTGATTTCTCCCTTCCCGTAGATCTTCCGCAGTCGTTCGGTCTCCTTATCAACCTGTGCTTGACGCTTTTTTGCCTCCTTTTCCTCAGCTTCAAGAAGCTTTTTGGTCCGTTTTTCGGCCTCCTTCTCCTTCTTAAGCCGCGCTCGTTTCTCTGCCTCGGATTGTTGCTTTAATACATTAGCTTCAGCGTCTAGTTCCCATTGCGAACGGAGGTCAGTGGGGGGGATGCTTTGACGAGGGGGCGGAGCAGGTCGCTGTTGTGGTTGCTGGGGAAGTGGTTTTGCTGGCGGGTGAGATGCTGGTGGAGGACGAATGGCTGGAGGGTAGCCTGCCGCACCATTTAGAGGTCTCGAGGGCACCGGAGTACTTGATGGCTTGTTTATTGGACTGGCAGAGTTCAGGGGCGGATTAAGGATATTAAAAGCTTCTTTCATGGGGCTGAAGAATACATCCCGGATAACAATGGCACCCAACATAAGAACGATCTCTAAACCCTTGTAGTCTTCCATTTCAACCCGGGAAAAGTTGGGTTCGTAGAGCGTAATCTCCTTTAATGCACTGAAGATGGCAACAGTGATATCCGGCTCCCTGTTCTTCTTTGAATTCCCACTGGGCCCGACGACTTTGCCAGACAAATAACAGCCCAGGTCCTTTGAGCCCATCCTGCCGTCCTTTCGCCAGTTGAATCGTAATCGAGAGGTAGCGTCCGAGGTTGCAGGTGTGGTAATCGTCTTGTCCAGCTGTGACTTGGAGGGTTCCCGAAACGTCCTCTGCGGCATTTCAAAGGCCCATGTTGCAGGCGTATTCCATGTCTTTGGCTTATGGCGGACTAGCACTTGTTGCTCTGGGTTGTATAGTTGGATTATGAACTCGGTGGGCATGATGGGCTCTGGCGGCGGCTGTACCCCTCCATTTGCCCTAATAGCCTCCTGGGAAAATGTTGGATGCGTCCATTTGGGTATTATCAGGACCTCTCCGTATAACGCGTCAGGACAGAAGGAATCATAAAGGGCAACGGCGTAGCGATTTCGAGACGTCTGCAGTTCTGGGTCCAGGTGTCGGACTGTGTATGCAGGCTGAGGCTCCTTTCCGTGTTGAGCAACAAAGAGGGTCGACCGTGACTTGGGGGCTTCCGATGACGGCTTCACAAAAAATGCTAGAAAGACGTGAGCGCTAGACAACCAATACCCCGGGCAACGGGTAACTGCATAAGTGTTGGATCGTTCATACTAGGGAGATTCTCGTCCAGCATTCTGGCAGGCAGGCAGTCACGTCACGTTCAGCCCGGCCACCCTTAAAGACAGTAGTAGCACTAGTCAGTGTCCAGCAGAATTTCGACGAGCGAATAAAGATGTCTGTCTCTCGCGATACCCTTCGGCAGTGTAAATCGCCTATATATATCCATCTAGGGGCATATCTTGCTCCTGATCGCCAGGCTTGCTTTCACTCTCTCTTATCAAGCAAAAAGCTGCTGCGGCCTGGAAGCTTCGTCTCCGCCTGCGTCATGCGGCTTAGTCATCCAGCCGCACCCGTCTTGGCGTTTTAGGTTCTATTTTAAGCCACGCGAGCCACGCAATTTGATATCAAGCGGAAGACGACGACGACGACGACGGTGACGAGTCAGGTTGGATCTGAGGTTACTATCTTGGGGAAGGGGTCAACTGCGGAAACCCTTAGGGCAGAGCTGCAGGGCCATTTACAGGAGGTGGCAGAGTTGGAACAAGCAAGCTACAGAGCTGTTTTCTGGTTTAATAATATCAGAGAACAGTAAATAACCCTTGTCATAGTCATTAACTTTTTGCCTATCATAAGCCGGTTCTATCGTGGTAAGGCCGTAGAAGTCATAAGTGACATGAATAATACGATACCTGGCATGAGAGCATAACAGAGACGATCACTGAAGAAGAGGATCCTGCAGGGGGCGTTAGCATGGCTAAGACAACAGCTTGGGAAGAAGTACAAGATGACATACCCTGAAATGTTTCTGACTGTTGGCTCCTTTGTTGAGCTTCCATTCATACTGTCGCCGAGATCGATCAGCTCGTCGACGCTCTCTCACTTCGGCCCCGCGGACTTCCTTCCTTTGACTGTCTGAAGCACCAATCATACCCAAGCCACCGTTAGCCCTCGAGGTTAAAGCACGGTTCTTGTTGGTGCCATTAGCCTGATCATCCCCTTCTTCCTCAGCATCGGGACCAGCCTCTTCAATCATACGCTGCCTGGTTAAGCGTTCCTCCTCGGTAGGATAGTTGTGCAAGTTTTGACGGAAGTATTTGGCATTGGATCTGTGGCCTGCGGTGCGCCCAGTTGGTAGGTGGAGTTCACCGTCATGTACAAACGCCGCATGGCCGTGCGTATGTGCATGAGAGTGGAAACCATCTATATTACGATGCTTGCGGGGATCGGTATTTGAATGATGGGGGTGCCGCGACAGTTTGGAGTACTGATGTGATCGATCATCAATGGGCTCAGCACCAATCTCAGCCGAGTCGAGTGACGAAACCGAAGTATCTGTCTCCCAGCCATCATCTTGCACTTCCTTTCCTCCCTCCTCTCCTTCTCCCTCTACCTCTTCCTCGTCATCAGAATATGTGCTTGTGAAGTCATAGAACTGGCCAATCTCGATCTGCTCATCCTCTGTTTCAAAGGCAATCATACAATGGCCCTTATCTCTCATGTGCGTCTGCACAGCCTCTGGAGTTGCCTTCAATTTATGGCAGTAAAGGCACTCGCTGTTCTTGTAGATCTTTGCTTGTAGATATTCAAGGAGACCTTCTCCGTCGGTGAGGTACTCTTGTTCGGGAATAAACATGCCATGGAATTTGCCCATGTGCAAAACATTGAGCTTGACATTAGGCGACTTATAGTTGCAGAAGAAGCACTGAGCAAGCGAGATTTCGGGTCCCTCTCCATCCTTCTCAACACCGGAAGAGCTCGCCGACTCCTTCTCGACAGTGTGGCTGGGGCGTCGGGGACGGATGGGAAGCGGATCGTGTGCATCAATCTTCGCACCCTTGATCCCACTAATAATCTCGGAGAACTCTTGCTCTCCAGGCTCGACATCACCCTCGCCCGCCTCGCTGCGTTCGTTAATCGGATCCCCCATGGAGAAAGTACCACTCATCACCGACGCCGTCTCATCCTTCCCTCCCTCTCTACGCAGCATGGCCTCTCGCTGCCTATGCTTCTGGCTTCCGATATGGTTCTGGAATGCATTCTCGCTGTAGTACGTCTTCTGACATGCGGCACATGACTTTTCGTATGTGGCTTTGGCGGCAGCAGCGGAGTTGGCTGCCTGGGCGTTCAGCACCTTATCGGTAAAGACCTCAGACGATATGGGAGGCAGAGTAGCAACCCGACGCTTCAAGTTGTATCGGCTGTACGAAACACACCTGTCAGTCTCGATCTGGGCCCGTAGCCACCAAATTTCAAGTACTTACTGCCAGTCACTTCTCATGTGCCCTCTCTGGGCTTCGCTGCTGCGAAAGGCCACCTGGCAGGTGTTGCATGTGTACGGATGAGTCTCCATCTCGCCGCTGGGCCAAAGTAGACGTCTCCTCTAGTCGTCCTTGCTAGTAATAATTTAGCAGTATCTGTTATGGCGGGGTGTAATGGATCTGTCCGAAGAACCGGCGAAAACTTGTGAGGCAAAGGCGAACGTCAAGTCAGGCAGAGAGGGCAGCACCAAGCCCTTATATGTATCTCGTTTCCCGTCCTGCTCCGCAAGGGCTTCCTTCACGATAGTCCCGGGGTTGCTGTTGATATCAAACTCGCTGCTCCTGGTCGTCGTTTTTGCTTATCAAGCGCCTTTTTTTTTATTGTGAGGCGAAAAAACCGAAAAGCCAAAAGTTATGACGTCGTGCCGATCACTTTCCCCTTTTGGGGTTTGTATGGACCACCTTAATTTCGACTTTCGACTTTGGAGAAAAAAGAAACAACAACCACCAACGAGCAGCGAAGAGAGACGACGACAGCGATATCAACCGGACCGACGACGGTGGAATGGTGTTTAGGCAGCGTGAATAGCTCGTTGAAAGCGAATGCTGTGACTGTACTGAGGGATCTGGATATGTTATAGCTATTGCGAGGACAAGATGACAAGGCTGCAAGGGGTGTCGCATGGTGACTGCGCAGCGGAAAGGACGGCTTATCACCATGCAAGACTGCCGCCAGGAGCGCCGGAGGTGGTCTTAAGGCATACAGTGAATGTTTCGGACCCTTCAAGGGTACTTTCTTGGGCTAAGGAGGAGCGCCAGCGGACCTTTAACCATCTCGTCAAACGGTGAGATCTCCCCCCCTTACGGTCATCTATATGCCATCCCTTTTTCTTTGCACGAGGATTGCAGTCTATCTACATGGGATTATTTCTAATATTCGGCATGCAACGACTACAGGTATAAAGCGCAATTGATCTATGGCTGCCAGGAACCAAACTGCATGACCCCTACGTGTCTTAGCTTCCGCCGTCGAAATACCAAAGCCCCGCTGCGTAGATTTACAGACCTCAGTGCTAGAACGGTTGCATGCTATCTAGCGAGTCAGGATGACGCTGAGCTAGGCCTCTGTCACTATCCGTCTGCCGCGGTATCGACCTCACTTGCTCCGGACACCGAGCGAAAAACCCGACAAACCAGTTCATACCCTATCACTGAACCCGCTCGTTCACAATCACGTCAAAGAAGAGACACAACTCCAGGAAACAAACCAAGGAGGCCCTCCGGTTCGCCTCCGGCGACGCTAGAGACATTACCATCAGTCCCAGAAAGCAGTTCGAAAACAAGAAAAGATCCAAAATCTTTTACACAGAATCTCTTTGACACCCTGTCGCTACGTATGGTGGAATGGCTACCCCTCAAACGGACGACATCCTACGGGCCCAAACTAGAGGATGAGACGAGACCTACTCCCCATAATTCATTGCTAGAGAATCAACCGCCTAACACTAAACGTCAATCGCCCAGCCCCGTGTCAGCTGATTCGGGAAGCTCAGGCTCAAAGTCTCATTCGTCATCTAATCAGACTTCGCCGTCCGTGAATCATACCTCATCAACACTCGAGGTCAAAGTCCAAGGTCATCCTGTTAAACGCCTATCACTCGAACCTTTGGAGCCACGAAAACAATCTCAGCGTTCTTCTATAACCGAGGACCGTTCAAAGAGCCAACGGAAGCGCTCTAAGAATGCCTCAGTTAACAGCACACCCACGACAACCGCCAATACCTCGCAGTCTCTCCCATCTCCACCAGCTTTACGCCACAGATCCCAGAAACACCGCCGCATGGGGGATAGCACCTCCAAAGCCAATGCGCACGTATCGTGGGGTGATCAAAGTACAGTTAGATGGCCTAGACCGGAATCTCATGGCGACTCGCCCACGGAGCCCACGATAGATACATATTTCCCTCTTGACCGGCAAGGCTTAGCTCCTGAATCAAAAACGGAGGATGCTGGCGAAGCTTCCCCGGTGCAGAGCCTCTCCCACCTGTCGGAAGAGATTGTTGATTCACTAGAAAATATCATGTTCAAGACCGACGATGACAAGGAAGTGTGGAAGTCTGAAATGTCTCAGCTAGAGTCTATGGGCCACTCTGAACCCTGGGAATGGAAATATGCTACTCATCAGCAGAGATTGGCATTCCCATTCGTTGCGCAGAGCGTGTTTTACGTATTGGGAAACCCACGGCAATTACTAATTTCCTTTTCAAATGGTCACAGCAAGCAGCCTACATCCCTACGATTAGATATTAATTCGCTAGATGGCACCTTTAGGAAATTGCACCGTATATGTCCTTGGGAGACGACGCTACACAGCTTGTGGCTCAGCATGGAAAAACTCTTCAACCCTCCTGTAGAACTCTCTCTTCCCAAGATGCAACGCCGCCACTGCAAATCATCTAGTTCAGCAACTCCTACCTCACCCAGATTCGACCTTCCGAGAACAAACGACTACATTCCTGATTCCGATGCTGCCTCTATTGCCATTGTTGCGTTGCTCGCCTTGTCAAGTACTATCCCTGCCATGGACACGCAGACATGGCAGGCTATCCGACAAATCAGAGCCTCCGGGTCAGTAATGCCGGATGGTATGATGCGAACATTTTCCAAGCCTCAAATACAAACCATAATTGAAACATCCGATCGATTCGAACATGACCTAGCACTTCGTTTGCTTAATAGGCTAGCGCGCGTTATTTCGACCCGGCTTGCGCTCCATGAAGTCTCCAAAGCGAAAGCGTCTCATATCACTGATTTCAAAAGCAATGATAAATGTGAGCTTATAGAGCAAATTATTCTTTTGCTCCAGCAGTTTCACAAACCGGAATCTAGTGATAATAATAACAAGATATTGCTCCCCGGGGACAGGAGGACTACCACGCCCATGGTGGTAGTAGAATGGTTGAGGAGTGTCCTGCTGAAAGAATGGGACGGTAAACCAGAGTTACCCAAAGCCAGTGCGGCCGGAGGCGCTTTACAACTCCTCAGCTTCCTATATAGGGACCGGACCAAGCTTGGGTTGCTACCAGAGGACTTCCATACACCTTTCTTTGCAGATCGGTTAGACCCAATTGATATGCCTACTGAGTGGGTAGACCTACTCTACAACAACCGAACAATGCACTTACTTTCCTGCTCATTCATATTCCCACCATCGGCATTGGTCACATATTTCCGAGCAATAAACCATGCAACCATGTCCAAGTCATTTGAGACTGCTGTTATTGCTTCAAAGCATGTCACATCTATGGCATTCTCCGGCACTATCTCTGTCGATGATAACCTTGGCTTACTCGCTCGGCTAAGAACTGGGCTCACCATGTTTTTTGTTATCAGCGTTCGCCGAGACCATGCGTTGGAAGATGCCCTTGACCAGCTTTGGAGGCGAGAAAGGCGGGAGTTGCTACGGCCATTGAAGGTTCGAATGGGAATGGATGATGGTGAAGAAGGCGTGGACCAAGGCGGTGTGCAGCAGGAGTTCTTTAGAATTGCCATGTTAGAGGCTATGAATCCGGCATTTGGAATGTTCACCATTGACAGTCGGAGTGGCATGTACTACTTCCAGCCTTGCTCCTTCGAGCCTCTCTACAAGTTTGAACTTTTGGGTCTTCTGGTATCTCTTGCCATTTACAATGGCGTAACTTTGCCGGTGGATTTCCCAATAGCCTTGTACCGAAGGCTTCTCGGCCTCAAAGTGAAAAATACAGACCATATCCGAGTTGGCTGGCCTGAGCTGGCCAAGGGCCTGGATGAGCTGTTGGCTTGGGAAGACGGTGATGTGGGGGATATCTTTATGCGGACATACGAGTTTAGCTTCAACGCCTTTGGAACAGTTGTCACAGTTGACATGGAAAGAACCGATAAAAACGAACCCTGGCCAGCACCGGAGAGATATGCTCAGTGGGAAAAAACCAAACAAAAACTGAATGATCATCGTGTTGCTACTAGAAGGCTTAGCAACCAAAATACCTCCGAAAGCGATAACACTGTGTCTATGTTAAAGGAGTATTCCACTGAATCGCGACAGTCTCCCCGAGACACGCATGTCATTGGTATCTTAAAGGGTGCTCCGTCAAGACTACCGCGACACCAAGTATCCACAGAACCGCAGCCCGAAGCTTCCACTGTGACAAATGCTAATCGGAAACAATTTGTCAAAGACTACATTTTTTGGTTGACCGACAAATCTGTCCGTCCACAGTACGAGGCATTCCAGCGTGGCTTTTTCACGTGCCTGGATCGCACTGCTTTGTCTATTTTTAATCCTGAGGCGCTGAAAACAGTCCTTGAAGGTATCCAGGAGATTGACCTCGTCGAACTACAAAGACATACCCGCTACGAGGGCGGATGGGACGGGAATCATCCGATAGTGAAAGGCTTTTGGCGCGTGGTCCTACGGTACCCCCTTGAGAAACGGCGCCAACTTTTGGAATTCGTTACTGCCAGCGACCGAGTGCCAGTCAATGGGATAGGCAGCATCTTGTTTGTCATCCAACGAAATGGTGTAGGCGATAGCGTATGTTACCTCCTCCCATCCTAGCGATAAATTATTGAAAGACCAGTTATGCTAATTTTGTCTAATAGCGGTTGCCAACCAGCTTAACTTGTTTTGGCAGGCTTCTACTACCGGAGTACACTTCCGTGGCAGTACTTGAAGAGAAGCTAGAAAAGGCACTGGATAACGCCAGGGGCTTCGGAGTCGCTTGATTCGCACATATTATCTGGGTGGTGGATATGGTTGTTCCCTGCCCCTTTACTGCATACTCGGAGTATTCCTCTCCATGTTTTCTTGTTTATAGCCTTGTTTATTGGCTTCTCATGATGCCCTTATGACCTGCCTGCCTTTTGCATTCCTCTCGCTGTTATCATAGATAGCCTGCTTGGTTTATAGATTTGTGAATCGGTCAAAGTCACTTGAAAATCGTGCATCGAATTGTCAATTTGATAATTTTCGGGAACAAGCAAGCGAAATATTAATAATTATTTAGTTGTTATGCTACTCTTTTTTTGAGAGCGCAGGTAGGGGCAACACAGAACACCACTCACTCGCAGACTTCGCGCATGATTGAATATGAGTCGGCCCTAACTTCACTCATTACTAAGGAAGCATCGCGCCTTTATTCTTTTATTCTTTTCAACTTTTATATCTCCAGGTCCCGAAGATGCCGTCGCCAGGGCAGGAAGTTTTGCCGAAGATGACTAATAACCTTAATCCTAAAAGGCAGTTTTCCCGACAGTAAAGTTCCTCCGGAGATATAACCGATATACCCGGTCAGAAGAGGAAGGTGTGGCGGCTGGCGGTCTAAAAGTCCAAGTTATGCTTGAGTCATTTTGATATCGAAAAGAACATGTTTTACTCGGTATAGATAGACAAATCTTTTCTTCGTTCGTGGCATTTCCATCTCTTGCGTTATACAGCAAGTTTTATCATCTTCGTTTGGGTGTGTTTCGGTGGTCGTTTCCGTTGGAAAGAAGCAGTAGATATCACCATCGCTACCCCGCGAACATACAGATACCAGGGTAGTAAGATGCCTCCAGTTCTTCACTGCGTCCGCCATGCTCAGGTAAGTAGACTAAATACCAGGTCAAAAATGCATTACATACTGATCTAGTTGTAACAGGGCTTTCATAACCTCTGCATTGAAAACCATGTCCTGCAAGACCCGTTGCTTACCCCGTTCGGCGAAGAGCAATGCCGTACGCTCCGGGCGAACTTCCCATACCATGCAGACGTTGAATTGATAGTCGCCTCGCCGCTTCGACGAACAATCTACACTGCACTGCATTCATTTGCAAATATAATCCAAGAAAAGCAACTCACAATTATTGCGTTGCCGGAGATCCAGGAAACAAGTGACGTTCCTTGTGATACCGGAAGCGACCTTTCTGATCTAAAGAAGGAGGTCGAAGAAAAGGGGTTGCCAGTTGATCTATCTTTGGTCCCAGAAGACTGGAATGATAAGGTATGGGATGCCCCTGGTTTGGTGTTGGGCCTTGGGAATCAAAGCTAACAAACCTTGCGTTAACTACTCTAGACAACAGAGAAATGGTCAGCGAATGCTAAGTCCGTTACAGCGCGTGCTCGTCAAGCTAGACAATGGCTGAAGGCGCGGCCCGAGAAGCACATTGCCGTCGTTTCTCACGGAGGCGTCCTCCACTATTTCAGCGAAGATTGGCAAGACAGTACTCTCTACCAAGGTATGTGCCAGGTCAAAGTAATATCCTTCCCTCGTATCTCATCCCTTCAATTTCCGGGGGTTTGAAATCCTTCCCTTGTTAAACATGCAAATAAAGTCACGAAAAAGCCACCAAGCCCGAATAAATATGCTAACGGTCGTCCGTCGCCCAAATGGCCAGGCACCGGCTGGGCCAACACGGAGTTCCGCACGTTTCACTTTACCGATTCTGCTGACACCGATGACTTGTATGGCATCAAGATTGACGGTGACAACGCGAGTATTCGAGAGTCAGTTGATTCAAGGAAGAGAAGAGGGAAAACAGTAGCTGAGCCGCCATCTCGTGAAATGCAAAAGCAGTTCTTCCACCAGGCTATGACTGGGTGGGAGACTCAGACAGCAGAGGCTTTGGCAGCGAGTCAAGGCACAGATGAGGAGAAGGATAGAGCCATGGAAGTTATGCAGAAGCAGCCTATCGCTGCCGCTGAATAGACTATTGGCCAGTTTAGATGGGGATATCATAGAGCTTTTTAACGGGTGGGAAACGTCCGTTTTCTTTTTATAGATATTACTTGCTAGATGAGTATCCTTAGAATATGCCTTACAATCTATTACCATTGGGCTACTAGATTTGATGTTGAAACGTGATATGCTCCGAGCGAATAAAGTCATTGGTAGGTCTAAGTATATGGATGCAAAATAGTTTTTCTCGGAGTCCATGCTCCACGGCGACAGCAAGGTGAAATTGATTGAAAACAGATTAGTGTAATTAAGCCCTAGACATAGGTGCTTTGTGGATATGTAACATGAGTAACGACGGGTCAACTGATATACAGACGACGACATGCTTCATGGCAAAATACATTCATCCCGTAAGAAGAGAAAACAAGCCAAATTTGGCAACTTTAGCCATATGAAAAGAAGAAAAAGACTGGCAACGTCAATAATATCAATAAAACAGAGTAAAGATAAACAGCGAATGTAAAGAACTGCAAAGTTGGACTGAGTTGGACTGAGTCTCTCATTAATCTAAAAGGTGATGTGATTCGTCATTCCGATCGTCATGTTTCGATGATCCTGTAGCTTTTCGTTTGCGTCTTCGCTTCTTCTTGCCGGAAGCGCTACTTGATCCGTTGGGTTGATGAGTCGATTGATCGTTGGCGGTGTCTTCTAGATCACCGGATTTGGTATCACTTGCTTGTGACGATGATGAAGGACGGCCGCTATGGTTGCTGTCGCATTCGGAGAGATTGCGGTCGCTTGTTTGTAAGACGACCTTGCGGATACCGTGGATGTCAACGACTTGTTCGGTTATGCTGCCACTTCTTGTAGGGCCGCGTGGGTGGAAAATTGTGGATGAAGATGGTGTGTCTGAATTGGCACTCGGTGAACGAGTTCCGTTTTTGGATAATGGAGAAGGGCCATGTACTGTGGCTGGAGAGTCTTCGCTCGCCGCGTTGTTTGCGTTTTGTGTTTGTTGTGATGGTGATGATGTGCGAGGGGCGGCTGTATTGCCTTGTCCGATAGTTGGTTCTGTGGCGGAATGAGGTAGATAATATGGGCGATTAGGATGGCCTGTAGTAGCACCATATGATGTGGGCTCCTTGAGGTTGACTGCGCGTTCGCTGTTGGTTTTCACCAGGAGGCTGTCTGACTCGGATGGATGCGCGTCTGAGTGTAATGTATGGTAGTCATAGGAGTCACGGCCGCTGAGGGGCTTGGGAAGACTTGACGGTGAAATTCCCAGCTCGTTTTATTTTGACCGCATTATAGCGGGTGTGGCGAGGGCGGCTTGCGAGGTTTGATGGCCCGAGATGTTTAAGCTGTTCTTTGATCTCGGCTGTGGCACCTCTTTGGATAATGGGTTTGCTGGCGCCGTCTGGTTTGTTAACGACAGGAGCTTGTCGCAGGTAGAATGTGGGTGGAGGAGGAGATCCGACATGGGTGGTGATTTTTGGTATTTGGGTATGTTGTTCGCTGTGCTGTTCGCTGTCTGCCGTACGGGTGGTGGTGAGGGTTTCTACTCCGATATCGTGAGCGGATGGAGGTACTTCGACGAAATGTCCCTTTGGAAAGTTGAATTTGGGTGCTGGAGCCATTCTGCGAATTGCTTTGTGAACGTCGATAAAGACATCGGATTCGTCGATGATTTCTTCACCAATAAGCTCCTCGATAACGTCTTCGAGTGTAACAACGCCGAGACAGCCATGATCTTCTCCCGGATAATCGGAAACCAGGACCATATGAGCTTTGCCTTCTTGGAAAAAGTTGACAATGTCAAGACAGCTTGTTTCTGCTCTGGTCTCTGGGAGGGTGGCAAGGGCAAAGTCGCGGACTCTTTTGCAGTCTTCGGGATCGTAGGTGATCAGCATCTTGACCAGCAGCATGCCAACAAAGTTTTGGGGGTTGTCTGGAGCATGGATTGGGATGCGGGAGTATCCCTGGGAGAGGATAAGGTCCATCATTTGTTCGTCGAGAACAGTGTCAGCCGACATGATGAAGACGTCTTGCATTGGGATCATGATGCTGCCAACAGATTTTTCCTTGAGATCCAGAACGGCGCTGATGATGGTAACCTCGTCCGAGTTCAGCTGCTCGCCAGCTGTGCCGAGATTCTTGTGTAGCGTAACGAGGGTTTTCAGGCCAGCTTTCTTATAAAACGTCCCATGATCTTCGCCGAGGAGTCTGTCGAGAAGCTTTGCGATGGGGTATGAGAGAGGGGAGGTGATGTACATAAGACAAAGGACGGCCGGTGCCATCCAAGCTCCGATGGGCAGCCCATAGCGGACACAGATTGACTGGGGGACGACTTCTCCGAAGATGACTGCGAGTCGGGTGTCAGCATATTCCATATTCCGCATTGCCTGCATCACAGGAGTCACACAGAGAGGTAAAAGGACCTACCAATCAAAGCGGTACTGCCGATGACCGCAGGCCAACCACCACCGAGAGACCGATCCAGGACGATGGGAAGTGTTTCATTCACGATAACGTTGCTCAACAGGAGTGTGACGAGCACCCAATGTTTTCCCTTTTTCAACAGCTCGAGAACTTTTGAGGCTTGTTTTCTCTCTACTTCTTCACCGGAGGTCTGTATAACTTGAAGGTAGATTTCATCCTACAATGAGAACAACAGTCAGTAATCAATCGTTGAGGTATTATTGTCTTAGGGATGCGCCAATGGAGTGAGTGTAGATAACTAACCTGGCCCATGAGAGCGATAGTCAGTCCGGCAAAGGCACCGCCGCTGAGGACGAGTGCTGCAGCAATGCTGAGGTAGAGCCATAAGTGGAATTCATCTGGGGGCGGTGGAACATGAGCGAGCTTCCCGACGGCCGAGGATGTCAGTGGCGCGGCATAGAGGAGAGGAAATCGAGCGAACGAGAAGAGGATGAGCTTGGTCAGGGCAAGACCAGCAGGTAATCCAGCACCACCACGAGTCAGAGTCATTTAAAGCGATCGAGCCAGTCGAGACAGCTGTTGGTCTGGTCTGTCTGAGAATAAAGTAAGGTGTGTATGTGGTGATGTGGTGATGTGGTGATATGTCGGCGAGGGTGCAGGGTTTCGTGTTTTGCCCGTCAAACCAGCAGCTAGTTCAATGCGGACAGCTGGATGCAGGTCGTTTAAATATCAACTGGGGCTGTCAAGGGCGTCCTCTTCTCAACAAGACATCAAATGGGTGAGGTCGGAGCGAGCTGTCTTCGCGAGATTCTGATGGGGATGGGAGGAAGAGGTGTTGATGGATGATGCTTGCGCGGACGTCCGCTTGGTGCAGCCCAGGCTTAAATAGTAAGTAGTAAGTTAGATTGATGCGACCAGGGAAGAGAGCGACGGGGCGGACTTGGCTGGACTTCGCGTTTCGTCTTGCTTCTGCTCGTTTTCTTGTTATTTGCTTCTGCTGCGACTTCTTTTCTTTTCTTTGCAGTCAAATTTTTCTTGTCGCGATCGTCGCAAGAAGCGCTTAGTCAGAGCTGAGTAAGAAGCAGTGGCTGAGTCAGCGCGGAAGCTAAAGTGAACGTCATGTCGGCTTTTGCTGGTAAAAGTCGAGGTTGATATGTTGAATATCAACGCCATGAGGCACTCGCTGGGCAGCGCAGGATCTCTCACATCCCGGCCGCCGTCCATGCTGGTTGTCTGTCCGTGTGTCCGTCGTCTCTCCCTGCTGGTCCCTGTCGAAGGTCCTGGAGGAACTACTGTGGCAACCCGCCGGGAAAAGGAAGGGAAAACAAGAGCTTAGATCCGTCTGTCTGGGTGTTCTGCTGGTACTCTGCTGGATGCAGGCACAGACGATCTGCTGGTGGTGTTATGGGTGGATGTATGTATGTATGCTCTTGCTGGCTTCCTTATCCCGGTGTGTCCCGGCGATCAGCGCCTTAGCCTTGGTCATCGTCGCTGGGTGAAAGATTATGGTGAAAAGGTAAGCTGGCGACGTGTTGTATATGACAAATGAACCAAAGGCTGCTTGTCGGTCGAAGGCGCTGTTCAGCGGCGAGGGTCTGTTTGTCTCCAGTGAGTGTCTGTGCGAGTCGAACGGATGATGGGTATGGCAGCTTGCATCTGCATGCGAAGCTGTATGAGCGAATCGACTCGGACTGGAGAACAAATTTGACCTGGGCTGCCAAAGTGCAATTGTTGCTGAAGGCGAAGTGTGCGTCTGTACGCTGAATGATATATTTGGATGGAAGATCACTTGCCTTTATACCACAGGTGGGAGAACCAATGCATCGTCTTCTCGACGGTCATGTACGTCTTTTGTGGTATATCTTGATGCAACTTCTGCACTATTGTGTAAGTTCCTCATATCGTGAAGGAGGATAACGTCCAGATCTTGTGCTGGTGCATTCGGTGATGCTGCTTGACAAGCCAGCACAAGACCGATAAAGAGAATTGATCATGGTCGCCGTGTTAGTCGAGGTCACCTTTTGCTCAGTGTCTCCAGGGGAAGGGAGCAAGTCCTCATCACCCAGAGTCCGAAGACTCGGGCAAAGAAGGAAAAGACCCTGCTGGCGACTGGAGGTGCTGGTATCTGATTGTCATTGTCGGCGGCAGCGAGAGCAAAACGGGGTGGTGAAAATGAAGGCGATGGCGATGTGTCAGTGATCAATTGTTGGCAGTCTCTTTATCGGAGCTTGGGGCTAGGATCCCGCTGGGTACAGAAAGGAGGTTGAGAGGCACCAGAGGAAGCCGCCTAATTGTGCGGCTCCTCTTTGGTTGGCTGTGGTGCTCCTCGAGGAATTGGCTGGCCTCCTGGAACGGCTTGTCCCTCTTGCTGTACCCGGCGGCGCAGTTTCTCAATGGTGTTGGCGTTTTTGAGAACCTGCGCTCTCTGGACATTGTAGTCCTTTGTGGTCTGCTCGAGCTTCTGCTTGCTCTGTTCGAGCTCTTGCTTGCTCTGCTCGAGCTCCTGAGAGAGAACATCCTTGCTCTCCGTAAGCTTCTGGATCTCATTATCCTTTCGTTGGATATCCTCATCCTTCTTCACGATATCTTCGTCCCGTTCTTCCAGGAACGCGGTATACATGGACTCTACCAGCTTGAGTTCAGAGTCCTTCTTTTCGTCGTTGCTGTTATGGTCCTTTTCCTTTTTCGCAGCGGCTTCGACTTGGCTGCGCAGCTTTTCCTCGAGTTCGGAAGATGCGGCCGTCCTTCTCCCGCGCGTGCGTCCAGAGACTTTCAACCATGGCGGTCTGGTCCGAAAGCCGCTGCTTGAGGTCAGCCACGTATGCATCGTGCTGTTTCTCAAAGTCAACGACTTCGGCATCCCGTTCATTGTTTTCCATCTCCAGAGCGGCAATCGTTCGAAGTTGGACCTCATTCCGTTCCGTCAGTCGGCAGACAGCTTCCGTCTGGGCCTTCAAGGCCATGGTTGCATCGTCGACGGCGCGTTCCTGAGCGGACAATTGCTCGCGGCATTTCGAGTTCCCGGCGATGAGGTTGCGTCTCTGGCGGCGTGCTTGCTGGAGTTGGCGTCTGAGCAGCGCCGCCTGTCGCTTGTCTGAACGCAGAGCCCCATGGTGGTAGTGGTGGTGGTGGTAGTGGGCGGGCGGTGGCCGGGAATCGACCATCATCACGGAGGTCGCCACAACCGGTGCCTCCAACTCCTGGACAGGAGTGGTGACAACCGGCGCTTTGACTGGCGTGACGACGGGTGCCGCAACAAGTTGTTGGGCCGCTTGTTGAAGTTCCAGGGACTGTGCGTTGACCTGTGCCTGCAGAGCGTCGTTGGATGATACGAGAGCTGCGTTTTGCTGCTGCAGGCTCGTCATCCTGGCCTCTTGGGTTTGGTGCAGCTCTCTTTGCTGGGCCAGGAGTGACTTAAGGTCGGCACATTCCTCTTGCGTGGTCAACAGAGACTGATTCTTGGTCATCAGTTCGTAGGCTAAGTCGTAGGTCTCAGCCTGGAGGCGAGAGGCAGTGGTGCTGTTGACACACTCGAGGTCCCTGATACGGGACTCCATCTGGTTCATCACGGCGAGGCTGTTGTCGGCGTCAGTTTCGGTGGCGGCATCCTTTGTGGTGGTGGTGGTGGTGGTGCTGCTGCTGCTGCTGGCCGTGCTGACGATGGTCTGGTCGGCGTCGTGATGAGTGCCAGATGGTCGGGATTCGACGGGTGTTCCAACTTTGTTGGCAACGGTATCGCCATTGTCTGTCGCTGGGGCGGAGATCAGGGTGTCGAGCCAGGTAACAGAGGCGCTGTCACGCTGGATTTCGATGAAGGCCCATTCCGCAATGAAAACGATGGCAACGACAGCCAATACCGTGGTAAAGGCGACGAGTTGGAACAGCTCCCAGTTCTATACCCTGTTAGCATTTATTGTCTTTTACTTTGGTATTGGATATTCAGGGGAGGCTGCTCCAGGGGGTAACTTACATAGAGCTGGGTCTCTACAAATTCCTTCCACCAGTCCGCGAGTTCGAATCCGGCGAGCTCTCCCTCGCAAAAGAGACGTCGGAAAGCGACTTCGCGTTGCCCTGAGTACGGGAACGGAACGCCTGGGTATCCAAGATTGTAGCATCCTGGAGACTGCATACCGGTGTTGTCCATGAATACACCAAACATTCCGGACCCGTAGGCAAGCAAAGATGGAGCCACAATGAAGCAGCCTACCACAAGCGCGGATGGAAGCTATACATCAATTAGCATGGGTTGGCTCAGTATCAATGCAATGGCAAGGTGTGGCGCGTGGTATAAAAGCATGCATCACGAAGGGAAACAAAAGGAGAAACTCACGAGAATCGCTACGACGACTGGCACATCCCGGTGGATGGCAAGGTCGGCGTATATGCGATCGGCCCATTGAGGACGGATCAGCGAGAGCGTCATATCGAAGGTAGTCCCCAGAGCGAGGAGTACCAACCCAAGCAGATCTCCCTTGACGAGTGCGTGCCAGACTGGCGAGCCCGAGATGCCACGGATGACACCACGGGAGGCACACACAAGCAGGTTGAAGGTGCTGGGACCGCTGCACATGGCGTATGCAGCGAGGACGAGGGCGCTGAAAACCGTTGGGCAAATTGTCGCGTAGTCCACGAGCGAGCCCGAAAACAGGGGGTTGTCCCAGGCCAGGAACAGAAGGTCGTTGTCAGCATCGGCTGCGAGCTCGATGCTTTCGACGATGGTAGCCAGGAGAGACCACGCCACCATCGTGACCAGCACACACAAGATGAGTAGGGGTGACATCTTGTATGGCATTGCTGTTGGATAATTTACTGGCTGGATGGCTGAAAAAGGGGTCGTTCGTTGAGAGGGCGGGACTACGAAAAGAAGATCGAACGGGATCGAACTTCTTTCTTCTCGAGACTCGGTAGTCTCTGGCACTGTCGAACAGGGTACTGCAACCTCGACGTCTTGATATCAAGAAGATATAAGCGCGTGAGGGAGTTGCTCAAGTTGGAGCAGTGGTGTTTTGGCTGTCGAGATTAAGGAGTCGAGGAAAAAGGGAGTCGACGACAGAGGAAACAGTCGAAGACGCGCACGAAACGCGAAGAGAGAGTCGATGCGGATCGACTCTTGATTGGCAAGGCTCTTCAGCGAGCTTTCGTGGAGGAGAAGTCTTTTGTTGATTCGATATCAACTAGGGAGGAGAGCTGATATCGAGCGAGGAGAGAGGGGAGGCTACAACTTGATAGCAAGGAGCCAGATGGAAGTCGAGAGGGTGATACGAGGTTATCGAGGTGGTCGAGATGGTCGAGATCGTTATGGTGAGAGAGGTTACAAAAGACTTGCTCGAAGAAGGAAAGGAGAAGAAGAAGGAGGAGGAAAAAGGGGGCAGTTAGATGAGAAGAGAGATATTTATACCCAGTCTGGTGATCTGGCGAGGACAGTGACTGTTGCGCTAGCAACGCAGAGAACAAAGAAAGACTTTTCACTTCTCTCACTTTTTGTCTGTGGAAGAGCCTGCTTAGCGAGAGCAGGACAGGACAGCAAGTGAGATTTGGCAACAGGACACGCTGATGCCATGGCTACGAGGCTACGATGGTGTCATTTCTCGGTACACTACGGTGATCTGATCTGGTTGATCCGATCTAGTTGATCTTACGAGGCTGATTTGACGTAGGTGGTCTGATCTAGTTGTTGACCTGATCTAGTTTGTTGATTTGATATTTGATATGGCTGGGTTTGTTGATATCAAAACCCACAAACGCTGACGACAGCGAAGCGAGACAAAGACGTGCTAACCAAACAAAAAAAGGCTTAGTTACCTAGACAATGGCTTTGTAGTAAAGAGGGAAGAATAGTTTTGGCAGCATCTAATTGCTCATATATTTCTTATATCTAGATCAAGTCTATACATCTGTCATCTCGTCATTCCGGCAAGATCAAAGCTAAGCATCCAAAAAGTCTCTGGAGATGTTTACTATTGCAAGGAGTAGCGCGTAATAAGAAAAATAAGAGATTCTTTTTAGAGCAAACAAAAATAGGCAAAAGGAAACGGGAACAGTGTGTGGCATAAACATGCTGCCAATTGCACCTGCGCTCGGGCAAGCATCTTGTCATTGAAGATAGATGACTCTATACTGCTG